TCTTGCATCTTTTTGTATCTATTTCTTCAACCATTTCTTTCTATCTTGTAGACGTCTGTTCGACTCCTCCATTACTTGAACCTATCGATCGACCAAATGATTTAGCGAGTTATGTTTATTAGGCTTTCTGTCCTACCCGCATTAATAATAATAACGCCATTTATGGTAACAAGTCTCAAATTTCACCAGTCGAATATCATTTCAAGTATCTCCCGTTCTCAATTCTATGAATCAATCAAAGAAACGTGTGTAACATACCACAGGGAAAAATAGCCAAGCTCAAAGAGGCTTTTACTTGTCTGGACTCGGACCCTGGAATACTTTGACGAGACTGTTTTCGCGTCTAACAAATGATTTAGATGATTCTCATACACCACCTACTCCATCGTACATTCTTTGAAGGTATCCGGCTATCGGACGATCCCATACTTGGGGGCCAAGTCGTATCAAAATGTTTGTTTGCTCACCCGGAAGATCAATACGATGATTTTTGAGTAGGCAATCATTCTTCTACCTATGGAACTTTGTACTCGTAGCTCATGCAAATATCCAATTAAACTATTGGCTGGTCATCATACAATCTATCACGTTGTGCGGATTTTGACCACGAGCAGGTATCACAGTTTGTCAAGATTCCTCAACAAGCAAACAAGCGAAGCATCAATTCTTTCTTTTCATGGATATATTTATCGTCAGAAGGTATCTTGACTCACATATGGCTGTCCACTGTCGTATCCGGTACCGGTTGGCACAGAAGTAGAAGTTTGCTTATGATCTTTCCTCCCTCTGTCTTCACAACCCTTTTCTTTCTTTTTCTTCTCATTTCATATTTATGCAACTTAACATTGAGTCAATATCCAAGCCTAAAGCGAAATCTTTTATCAACATGCTTCTCGAAAGTATTGGTCTAGGCAGATCTCATCGCGGTTCCCGACATGCTCTTTCACACTTAAGTAACCATCAAGGTTCAACATCCGGCTGCTACGATATTCGCCATGAGAAGAACGGTGTTCATTGGGAAGGTTGTCCAAATTTTAATCCTAATCCCAGACAACTGAGTCCTAGAGATCAATTGTCCATGAACAGAATGATGAATTCTCCTAGAGGATCTCCAAGAATGGGAGACCACTCACCGCCCTCGGCGGGGTTGTCTTTACCATTACTCCAACGGAATCATTCTAGTCCAAATGAAAGATATTTGGAAGGATCGGGTGGTCTGGAAGCCCTTGCAATGGGAGGAATAGGCCCAAGATCTAGGAGCATTGGCCAAAACCCCGGGGGTCTTGAGGCTCTCAGACTCGGTAGACAAGATCCTCGCGATCGAAATCATATCTTGGGCGCAGCACCACTGGGTCTAGAAGACTTTGAAGAACTCGGTACAAGGAGATTGCAATCAAATATTGATTCGGATCAACATGGGACATTCGAGCACCTGATAAATCGCAATGTGGCAACCAGATCATTGAATCAAGGACAATACAATCCAAGCCGTCAACATCTACACGAAGATATTTATCCCGATTCTAGCCTTCAAAGGCCTCGATACTACAGCCCCCGCACCCCAATTTCACGAAGACAATTCCAGGACCTAGGTCCCGGCCCTCCCGAATATCTCATGACACCAGATTATCAGCCAGCCGTATACTACCCCAATTCTCCACGTCTATCCCAACGTTCTACACCTAGAATGATGTACGACGAGCGAAATGAAATAGCAATGAGGAGTCCCCATATCCACCACAACAATCTCCACCAAAGTCCCAATCCTCTGATGCACGGCGAAATGGACAGCCCACTTACATCGTCCCGGTATGGATCTATTCACTCTCGTTCTCCTTTGGGGGGTGGAAGCAATGCAGACTTACAACGGGAGATGAGTGAACAGCGTTCGATGAGAATGGAACCATCTATGATGCCTTATACTACTCATGACCGTAGCCAAGGTGGTAGTCGACATTATGGCGGTCCCTTGACCACAAATTACCAATCTCCATATGTAGAAGATTGGGTTAGTGAGGTGGGAATGGGACCGGACGAAATGATGCAAAGGCAAGCTGCAATGGAAGGAGGTGGGTTTTTCTATGATGAGCGGGCCGGCATTGGCCTGGATGATGGGTATGGGAGATCTAGATTAGTTTGACTTATTTTTAACACGGAATTGAGCTTTGGAAATAATGCTGTCGAAAATCGGGGAGATAAGGCTCGATGAGATTACCATTTGGGTACTAATATAATTACGAGCAAAACAATGTAAGCCTTGATCGCATAACTCTATTTCTCTTACCTTGATGTTCGAATGGCCTACCCAGCAACTGTCGAACATCATAGTGGATAGCTTTGAATGCCACAAAATGCCAAGGGGGGATAATGACTCTTGTACCTCGTGACCACTTCCACGACCACGATTCCCACAGAAGAAATTTCGGACTCTCCGGATCTAGTAAGTATCTCCTCGGTACTGAATCGGCACCGAACGGGGAAACCTGCGCTTTCTCAATAGACACACAACTGAATCAGAACAGTACATAATTTAGATATCAGTAATCTGGCCCCTCCCATTTTTTTTCCTATCATCGCCGAAAAAAGATCACGAGGCTCGAAAGTGGAACATACTGCATAGACAACACATGTGTTCATTTGTTTATACAGCAACTATTGCAATGATTACATGATAGCGAAGATATATCCTAGCATGGACAATTGCCAAGAACGGAAATTCGGCATTCGTTGCGCAAGGTGGCTCGGGGCTGAGGGTTCGTGGCTTGGCAATAAGGCGTAGAGTAGACAAACTGCCACTGTGGCAGTTTGTCTTTTCGAGGTTGATGACGTTTTTTGCTTCTTATCTTATTGGGCTGAGGGTGGATGATGAGTCTTTGATGAAGGGGCTGGAAGCGAGAGGGTAGATGGTCAGTATTGTATGGTCAGTATTGTAATAAGAGAATGGTTTATTATTGTTCGGAGAAATTAATAGATTAAAATGCTAAATTACTCGCAAGATTCGTAAAGGTTCATATTTCCAGATCAATACGAATGCGAATAGCCTAATTGAAAGTCCTACGCAATCTATCAATATTGTAATATACCTATTCATGAGTGTGGAAGTCTTGGGACTCATAGGTGCTTGGATCATTTTCAACACACTCAGCGCGCGACCATCCACTTACACAAGAACAGATGAACCATCATCAAACACTTCAAACATACCGGCAAGCCAGCATTATCAGGAACCATGATCATTCTCCAAAGAACGGTTCTTCAAGCTTCTAGAAGGAATCGATTGCATGATTTGCATGACTAACCTTACCGGGATAATTTTGTACTCGTGGCGCAGTAGATTGCCCCTCACCACGGAACTCGGAACATGACTTGCTAATGAACCAACCAGAGTTCTTGTATAAGCCCTATGCTCCCCACTCATCACCGTCAGCTATGCCAATTAGGCTTTTCCAAGTTAGGCCTGAGTGGCTCGAATCCCTTGCGAGCCCTGATTGCAGGTGATTGATTCACTGCCCTAACTGTGCCTCAATCACTACCATACCAGTAATCCGTGCTGTGCTCTGCCCTATATAAGATCCTCTTACCCACCTCCATCTAACCTGCCTACTACTCCGCTTACATTGATCAGATCTCACATCTCATCTAATTCAAACATCAAACTTGTTGCGAACATCATCAAACAAATCAAACCTCAAGATACAATTCAAGTAAAGAAAACAACCCAAGTAAATCAATTCAAACAGAATGTCCAACCAGGACTTTTATGGTGGTGGAAACCAAAACCCCTACCCACCACATCAGCCATACGGTGCCGCTCCACCTCAACCATATCCTCAACAACCTCAATATGGTCAGGACAACACCGCCTATCCTCCTGCCCCAAATTACTCGCAAAATCCCTACCCACCTCAGAACCTTCAACCACCATATGGCGCACCGGGTCCTTCTCCAGCACACTCTCCAGGTCCCTACGGAGCTCCTCCCCAGCAATCTCCCTATGGACAAAACCCCTACCCTCCTCCGAATGATCCATACGGAAACCAACAACTAAACGCCTACACCGATAACCGTGGCTACTCCCCAGCGCCCACTCCTTATGGCGCACCCGCTCCCTATGGCTCTGCACCCCCTGGTGGCGCACCTACCTACCACGAGCCTGGCGCTAATCTCCCACCCCAACAACTCGATGCCAACGGTCAACCCGTTGAAGGCGATCGTGGACTTGTATCTATGGGACTCGGCGCCGCCGGAGGCTGGGGTGTCGCATCTCAAACCGGTCGCGGCACAATGGGAAAACTCTTGTATGCAGCTGGTGGAATGATTGCTGGACAATTTCTCGGAAACAAAGTCAAGAAATATAGAAAAGATCACAACAACCGGGATGTAGAATACTATGAGGATGCACAAACTGGACGGGAATGTTCGCCGCCAAGAGATGGTGAGGGATCACACTCGCAGCATGGTGGATATAGGGATGAAAAGTATAGCGGACATGGAGGATATGAAGAGGATAGGCATTCGAGACATCATGATCATGGACATCACGGACATCATGGACACGAACATAGAAGTCATTCGAGGCATTCTAGCCACTCTCATCATTCTCATGGAAGACGTCATGATGATGATCGGTATTAGGGGTGATAGGTAGTGGAGCGAGGTGCAAACACAAAGCGCGAACGATGAATGACGAGTGTTGGATGGAGTGGCGAGGCACCGAATACGAAACGGAAGGAATGGGACAAGAGGTTCGCCTCTGCGAAACACTTATATTCGGTTATCTCGATAACTGGATCTTGAATCATGGCGGAATTTGGCGTTGGATATGCTTTTTTATGATACGAAGACGGGACGAATGCATGACGATATTTCAACGAGTTCATTTCAGATAGTTAGCACTTCGGTGCGATATGATGGAGGAGGGATGAATAATTAAGTCCAATTTCCAGTATGAAGATCCATGTCTCCTTCATTTCTGTTTTTCGTTCACTATTTACCTTTGATGTGAGAAATGTAATTATTGTAGAGAACCTGGGAGCTGTTCTCCGAAGAACGGGTGAAAGCCCATCAAGTCACGTTTACTTGTACCTGCTTCCAGCTGTTCATCCTATCCTTCTATTATTGGACAGACTAATGCAAGTGCCCGCACTTTCCTATAAATCGGTCGATCTTGAATCGACGATAGTCTTGAATTCTGTGGAGCATCATATCAACCAACAAGCCAATTATCAATCTACAAGTGCAAGACAACCACTAGGCTGAAAACCCGTGTCCATGGTACAGCTGCAATAATCTGCACGAAGGGCTTTATCAGTACTGGTACTTCATTTAGTAGAGATTCCTTGCAAAAGGTTACCTGCGCCTAACTCTGATTGTGGAAGGAGATAAATCAAAATTCCTTGTTCATATGCATACACATCCGAATTCTTCCATTAGCACTTTTGTTTGATGATCAATGCTACAAAAATTTGGTTCGGTCAGAATGGTTCGAATTCAGCTGGTGGCTATTCATAAACTGCACCACCTTGCATACATGAGTTGTAGATGGGTGAAACGTATGGTGGGTGAGGTTCAAATTACATTTGACTCAACTGTTGGATCGCCGAATCACTGCATTCAAAGTCTAGATCGAACTGCATATCTCCAAAGATCCGGGGGCTGACATCAGCTGCTATGCCGTAAAGGTTAAACTATCAAGTGCCAATCACTGCCCGCGTATCTTACGGGAATGGCTCAATGCATATGCAGCACTATATGCCTGTCTAGAACCAACCTATAGTATCGGGAATGGTAAAAATAGGCACCCCGCATCCGCATGATTCTAGCGTCTGCGTGAGGGAGCTTTGGCATTATCATATGTATATAAAGTCGGTATCATTGAAAGATGTAAACTTGTGATCCGATTCTCAATTCCTAAATTCAACCCCTTAGATCCAAAATGCATCCCCAATACACTCCATATCTTTTCGCGGTCCCCTTTCTCGCCTCCTATCCATTGCCCGTCAATGCAGTCCCAACAAACTTCAACCTAACCGCCATCACCGCCTCAAACAACATCTCTATGTTCCAATGCTGGCAACTTACCGATCCCATTATCTCTGGTGAGCAGCCTGGTTACGGTAGCGAGATGATTTTACAGAATTTAGGGGCGATGGGAAATGCCACTTATGGATATCTGCCCGCCAATTTCCCCGGCGCTGCCCATGTAGCGCCTGCTCCACAGTTTGTTCCCTCTCATATCAATCATTCCTCTCTTCTGCCTCATCCAAAAAGGAAAATAAGACAAAATTTAACCGAGCAACCAGATACGTGGTTTTTCTCTCCGGAAAAATGGTCATCACCATACCCGAAACAAACCAAACTGCAACTTTTGGGGCAGGCGCAAATGGTATTATTGTGGCAGCGGATACGCAAGATAAGAGTGCGAATGGACATGTGACGGCGTCGTTGGATGAACCGGTTGCGACGGTGCAGATTCCGTTTTTGGGGGGTGTAGCGCCGGGGTATAGAGTTCTACATGATGGGATTTGTGGGGGGGATGAGCTGGGGTTTAAGTGAAGAAAGGGAAACGGCGGGGGATGGTGTATCCTGTTGAGAGGGCGTAGGAGGAGGATGTATTCGAGATAGATGGGGGTTGTAGTAGAGATGATACATGTTGGGTAAATCCTGTATTGACACTTTCTTTAGAGTTGTTGTGTATGAGTAATAAGCCTTGGCTGAATTATCTTCTCATATTTTTAAAAGCGGGAAGCGTATAAACTTCAGTCTTTGGGCGGTTTCATCTCAAAGCCCCGATGATCATACCCCCTCAATAGCAAAGCCCTCTCGGTTTTCAGCAACGTATCAAATATTGGGCCCCTACTATGCTACACATGTTAGCGAGAAAGACGCATCAACTCAGTACTTCTTGACTAGACCCCTTACTATGATCTTCAGAGAGTTTACCATTGTAATGTTTTCGTTTTTGATGCTTATACAATGATATCCAGGTTTCATTTATCGAGAGAACTGCTTGAAGGACCTGAGGTCATATGAAAACATAAAGATCACGAAGAAGTATTGATTATCCATTTGGACTAGTCTACGGTGTAAGTGCAAGTGATCGATATCAGTGATGCAGAAAGTATCAAATAACTCGAGCAATGATGGATCTGCATTCCCATCGCAGTTTGAAGAGCCTCCATATCAGCCCTTTCTGATAGACTGTGCCGTTGATTGGCTTTTGCAAAGCAGCGATACTCGATTTTCTTTTTGATAGAATGGTAGTCAGAAAATACGTGACAAGGATTACTAGACAGAAGCTTCAGGCTTTATTGTGATTTCTAATAGGGAAACACCAGGTATTTACTAATATGCCCAAATCACCCTGGAGTGTTCCAGGCTGAGATGAATGCTAAACTTTGATAATGCCCCATCGCTCTCTCATAATGAACTATTTCTATCCACAAATTCCTAGTAGTCAAAGAAACAGTCTTCTAGTCCTTTCGAAAAGACAAGAGATATGTACACGGTACTAGCTATCATGAAGGAAGGACATTTGCGTGAAAGTTCACGTACGAATACAAGTTAGACCTTCTCATCACTCCCCTGAAGCCTTTCTCCCGTCATTTCACCCGACGCTGGACTGCTTATTCTTTTCTTTTTCCAAGAAAGAAGCTGGATCACGAAACCACAGCATGCGGCTAATCCTGCAGCTGGTATCGCAAACACAAGCGTCCGGCTCAACGCGAACGATAATGCTTGTTTGACACTTTCCACGTACTGGGCTGGTACGAGTGTTCCAAGGTCTACCAGTCCCTTGATTTCTGATGCAGTAATCTTCCCATTTAATCCTGGAATTTCTGCCAATTTGCTTCCAAAGAGGTTAGTGAAGAGGATATTTCCAACAGTAAGGGCTACTACCGGCCCAAGACTATTACAGAAAGATACCAGCGCACTCGCAGTCGCTACATCCGCTGGTGGAAGTGCCAAAGGCACAGCTGTAAAGGCAATCTGCTGAACTGTTCCAGCTCCCAAAGCGACTATGACTTGGTAGCCTACATACTGTGCCTGGCTGCTTGTGATAGTGAGTGTAGATAATAGTCCAGAACCCACGACAGCCAGGCAAGCCCCAATATACATAATTGAGATGTAATGACCATAGGCGGTAATATAAGCACCACTAGCCATTGGCGAAAAAAGTAGCGTCATTACATAAGGTAGAGTGAGAACTCCGGATGAAGCCGCGGAATGCCCAAGTACGGACTGAAAGTAGAATGGTAAATAATAAATCTGTACCGCTATGACCATGGAAATAAAAAGTTGATAAAGGAGGCACAGTAAGGCTGTGAAGTTTCGTAATGCTCGAATGGGGATTGTTGCGCTAAGCGAAACGTTAGGAACGATATCCAAACTCTCAATCTAAACTTACCGATCTTGGAACCGAACCTGGAGATAACTGAACGCTGCTATTTGAAGGAAAAATCCAAGTATACAACCCCAAACCTTGGAATTAGACCATGCGTATGTGGTACCACCCCATTGAGCTGCGAGAAAAAAGCAAGTGAATGCTGTAATCAGAAGGAGCGTGCCCAAGAAGTCGATCCTCATAATCTTTTGCTTTATAGTCAGGCTTTTCCCAAGCTCCGATAACTCTGGTGGTTCAAGGAAAAATACTATCAAAAAGAAGGCAATAAAACCGATAGCTTTTCATATTCAATGTCAGAGCCCTGCAAGACCATACAACGGAGATTACTACTTACGCAGGTTTAACCAAAAGCAGAATCGCCAAGTGAGCTTCGAATCTGTGAACAAGCCTCCAAGAAGCGGTCCAGCTGCGGAGGAAACACCATACATACTAGTAACTACTGACACGTATAGATAACGCTTTGCAGGAGGAACAACATTGGTAACGAGGGTAAATGTTCCGCACCAAATCCCTCCTGCAGCTGCACCACAAATCAGGCGCCCAAAAATGAAGGCGATTGAATTCGGAGCGGCTGCACTTATGATAGAACCAACTTCAAACCAAAGAATACTAATCAAGAATGCCCATTTTACTGAAAAGAATGTAAATATCTGTCCATGAGCTGGCTGAAAGGCCATGATTGTCAAAAAATAAGAGCTGCTGTACCATCCAGTCAAATTAATTGACTTAAAGTCTGTTGCTAATCGAGGGATAGCCGTTGCTGTGATATCATCAGCGTTTGTACAGAGATGGTATTAGTCATGGCTTACATATGATGTAGTTATCGAGAGCAACTACCAAAACGGCAGCCATGATGCCCAATGTGATAAGAAGGAATTTCCATCCGCTTGGATATATCTTCTCTTGTGATGCTGCATCATTTTCAATGACTGTGTTTGGTTCGATCTTCTGCGAATTGTAGACTGGAGTTATGACTTGTTCGTCAACTGCAACAGCTTTGGAACTTTCTCTACTAGAGGCGAGCGACTCATTCCAGTTCTCCCTTGAGTTATGCATGCTTGGAGATATCGGCAGTTTGTTCCAGCATTCGATCCACGAACCTAGAGCCTCAAGACACCAGAGTATTCACCGTAGGAGTTTGCTATGTGTAGCTGAATATTAAGATATAAAGAGTTGTCGACCATTTGGTCCAGAAGAAATGGATGACGGGAGTTGTATAATTTTTTCAAGCCTACATAGGCAGTAAAGCATTGTGCGAGTTATTGCAGGTCGCTGATGGGCTGACATAACCTTGCCCGTGTTATCAAACATATCTATAACATGTTGGTTGGTTTACAGCATGGCGAATGGGAAATGACAAATGGGGAAGGTGACGGGGTGTAGTAACGATTCGAGTTGAAAATTCTAGCGGTCTAGACTTTGGATTAGGGTTGCAACATTAATAACGATCGGCTTAAACTAAGCTTCAATGGTCAACCATTAGGCACTTTACTATCTATGGCATGCGTTCTTCTACATTGAATTTGAATTTGACCCAAATAGATAGATACATGTATTTTGAGATTTAAAACTCATCTTCAATCGAATGTTAATACTAGCATGTAAATCGAATGTTTCAGAGCTTTGAAGTGCATCATCGTGCCGAGGGTTTTGCCCCGTAAGGCTAATAAAGGATCTGAGGTTTAATTCCTTCTCATTTTTTACCGAATGTTCTGAACGCGTTTGATCGAACAATATCAACAAGAAACATTATGATTTTTTTTTTGCATTCATTAAGGGCTGTTTCAGAATGCGGATCTATCATGACAATTCATATTCAGGGTGCTCCAATACAGGGAATTGGTTATTTACCACCAAAATTGAGCTCTAAGCATGAATTGCATACAAAAGGTCAAGTTTCTCTTCATAAAGTCTCACTGTACTTCTTCTTTCAATGGTACCCTTGACAGATCTGGCCATTGGAAGTGCTTCGTCTGTGATTAAGATCATGTCTTTAGTGATTTTAGCAGTGTATGGCACGGGTTTATTCGCCTCCTCAACAAGCGGCCATAACGATTCAAGAAAGGCAGCTTTGTCCTCGGATGGGTTTCGCAACTCAACGAGTAAAGCACCCTTGGGGCGGCGCGTTCCAACAAATAGAACAGCAGTAACTCCTGGATGCGCTCCAATAATACGCTCCATTTGTGTGGGGTAGAACTTTTCTGCCGTGATGAAAGATTGCATGTCATCTGCTCGGCCGCGGAACTGCCATAGTTCAGGATCATCTGCATGTGGAGAGAACAAATCTCCTGTAGGATATACAGGGTTCTCAGGAAAGATAGTGAAGATTGACTGTTTGTACCCGTCAAGACTTTCATTAAGGGTGTATGTTGCTTCGAATAAATCTTCAGATTGGTGGCGGAAAGTCAAATTCTGTGCCGGATGCACACGCATATATTTCCACATCTTTGGATTCCAAGGTCCTGTTGGATGGATAGTATGCCAGAACCCTTGCTCGGTTGATCCACAAGTTGTGACGAGCTTCATCTTTGAAGAAACAGTATCTCCAGCAGCAATGGTAACATCTCCTCCGGCATAGAACATGGTTTCACCATTCTGTGAAATGATTTGGAGAGCTTCAGAGTTGATGGCAAGCTCTTCTATTTGAGGCGGAACTAACATAAGAGCATCGACTTTCTTGCGTTGGACACAGTCTACGAGCATGCTGACTGTTGGTAGCATGCCCGATAACAAGTAAACCATTGTTGAACCACAGTAAACCGTGAAAAGTAGAGTAACCCATGTAGGACCAGCCTAGAAATACTTAGCAAGAAGTAGAGACATACGTTGAGATATTCTTACATGAGCAGGAGGAAAGGAGCAGATTAGTCTCCCCCCCCCAGCATTAGCCTATCGGTGCTCTCGAATCCTTTCGGGGGATCGAGTCTTCTTTCTTTTACATAGCCCGCAACATACTCATGTGTCCAGATGATTGGTTTCGGAAAGCCAGTGGTACCAGAAGTATGAAGTATTACCAGCGGTTCAGTCTTGACCTCTCGGAAAGATTTCTCAAATGTGAAGTGTGGAAATTTCTCTGTAAATAGCTCTTCAAGTGTAGGTGCTCGCAGAACTTTGTCGTACAGGGCGACGATACTTTCATCAGCAGATTCAGGCCCTTGAGGTAGTATAATCTTATTGCAATTGCATTGTTTGATAAAATTCTCATGGGCGATAGCATTAAATCTTGGAGTCATCATTAAAGTCTACAAGAAGTTAGCGATCATCGGATAAAACTCAACCCATAATTCTCAAAACTTGCCGAGTATCCTGCTTTGCAATTGCCCAGCAAGACCAGATTTCGTGTCAAGTCATTAGGCCCCATATAACACAGAGGCTCACAGGTGCTTGAGAATCCAAGAGCACGATGAATCCACCAGGCCATACCATTTACTGCGTTTGCAAGGTCGGCGTATGAGACCGACCGAAACCCTGCATCGAAGGTCATTGTAGATAATGGTATTTCGGCATACAGTCTCCCTGGGTCGGTCTTTGCGATATGGTCGATCGCGTTTGGGAGGAGTTGCTCCGATCCAACTGCCTGGACAGCATTTTGGAACTTATTGAGCCTTTCTGTAGCCATGATGAGACTGTAGCAAATTGTCGAATTCAAGATTTTTTACAAGAACAAAGACAGTGAGATGCTTCGAGGGGTAAATTGAGGACTAGAGGAGCTGTCAATCCAGTTGGTTTTGTATGCCAGATTTACCAGCCGGTAAGTCTACCGTTCTCACAATCTGAATGGTTCAAATTGTACGACAACCCAACCCGAAACCCAACACCGGGTATTCGACGGTTGAAGCTAGACATCACCGTCAGTTCTAAATGTTATTCAAAATAGACTAGTCACTTTTGGACCTATCCATCATCTGCAAGTGTCTTGAACCATCACATAAAACATGCCCTGTATATACTAGTATCTTATCTCAACAATAAATTCTCGTATCGAGGCGTTACTTTCATAATTACAAGAAAAGCATGTTACCTGTAAATTTAACGGGTTCTGGACATTGACTTAGTCGTTTGTTATCCAAGACTATTTACGAGCGAGCTGATGACCTTCTCAATCTTGATTAGACTGCATCTTTCTACTATCATTAAAATTTTACACTCACATTGATTGCAACGCATGCGCGTCTACGTCTTATCATCTCACCAACCCTATACAGCTCAGTTTGCGGCACGGCAATGCGAAAGAAGTGGCACAATCTGGCACAATGCTTATAATCGAGATTAGCAGGGTCCTGGTATGATACCGACAGCATGGTACCGAGATGTATGCAGCTACCCCAGAAAATATGCAACTCCGAAATCGAATCGCATATCACAGGACGATAAGCAACTGGAGGACTAACCTAGCTTTTTTGCCCGCTGATTTCTAGACTTGCTGACTGCAGCAGCGGATCTTGACTCCTTCGCCTTACTTTTCTTCTCCTTCTATCTGCAAATTAAATGTTTGATTCTCGCCCACCCCGAGTTCTCTCATGTCAGCATAGACAGTTTTGTCGTTTAATTCGTTAACTTACGAGGATCGGAACATGAGTGTCCTAATAGAGTAGAAGTGAAGGTTCTGTACTTAGTGTTATCATAAGGTTGGTCTTAATTAATCGCTATTCGAATCCATTCCGGAACTATGAAAGTAGTTCCGTAAATTGATCAACCGAGATGGTCATCATAAGTATCTTCTTATTGTCAACTATTCTAGGTTAGAATAACCTTATAGTCACGGTTCGAGATAGAGTCTATGTGGTACTTGTAAAATTATCCAGCTAATAGTAAAGTGTAATCCGCATTGCGCAGAGAATTCAAATCGAAAAAGACCAACAAATACCCTAGGGCTATGCATGCAACCCTAGCCATCATAGATTGTAGCGTGGTATTTCCTCAACGGACTGCAAGAATCTTAACCAATATCGATGGCTTCTCTCTAAGTTCATCAAGCTCACTACGCTCATTGAGTTTGTGAGGTTCCATCGGAATTGACGTTTCGAAGTTTGATCCAGCACTCTATCTCATCTGGCGATCAAATTAGCTAGTCGTTCAACCAAGCAAACATTGATCAAAATCTGCTCGGCAGAATTTCTGAGAGATCCGGATTCAGGGGTTTTCTCCAATCTTATTCCAATCTTCGCAATTTCGACGAGCGAAGCAAAAGCAGTCCATCAATTGTTCTTTGAGACCTCAAAAAGAGTCTCGACTTAATCACTCTTTTCACATTCAATCTCCCACCCCAAACTAGTCAATATGAGGGATTTATGTTTCCATATAGAGGTGGAGCTGACAGAAAGGTCGCTTTGAATTGTTAATCTTGCAACGACAATTCTTTCAACTTAGGATTATGGCTGAAGTGGACTTGTCGCAGAAGATGAGGTTTTGCTGCAACGCATCATGTGGGATGAGTTATTCACTTCTACATTGAGAAGTCATTTATCGGTCCCCTAACATTCCCGTCCTTGAAGTCGGAGAAAGCCAAGTGCTGGTTGGTCTCGGTTTGGGCCACATTATCCAACGGGGCGGCGTCTATTTACTCATACTTCGCAGCACAAGTCCGTGTCAAAGCACGAAAGTGAGGCCGTCGACAATTCTCGAGTTCTTTCTAGAAATTCGAGTTCCGTATTGGAGGCTAAAGTCATCGTCAAGTCTGTGAGATTTGAGAGTTTGCCATTTCGTTGATGTTTGCGTCCTAGGCAGAGAACGTTGATCGTATCGACAGATGCGTTGAATATAAATTGTGACAGGTGAAGGCGGTGAATTGGCAGAAAAAGACTTGTGATGTAACTGTTGGTAAGATTATATCAACCTGCCATTGTCAATACTTGAAGTATTCATACTATTCGTTTCTTCATCTTTCTGTGTCAAGCAGTTGTCAATGGACAAAAAGCGCAAAGTATGAAATTGGAACATGACGCTGTTCATCTCTTCCACATCATTGTCAAGAGAGAGTTGCAGAATTCAGCAATCCCAATAACCTTATACAGGGCAAATCAACCAATTCATCCAAAAGATAATGATTTTTGGATGTACATTTGAGAGCTCCATCGAGAGATAGAGCTAAGGCAGATGATCTTTCGATTTGTGGTGGTTGATGTGAAATCACTTGGATACTTTTCACCCGTCTTGGTGACGGGATATCCTTCAATGCTCCCAAGCACTGTTCCTCAATGTCTTGTTGGCCGGTGTCGGATTTATGACTGACATTCTCGCATAGCATCGGAAAGATGGGCTTTATATGAAGTTGTTGATATTGGTTTCTTGAAGAACTGGAGGCGTCTTGAAGTTTGGCCTGTTATGAGCCTTATCGTTATGATAGGCGTATGCAGTGGGTGGGGGGGGGGATTCAAACCCGACCACCACGCCTTTTACTTGACAATCTTCCAATCCACATCTTCAGCACAAATATTTGGAGTCGGCTTGTACCTTCATTGGGATTGGGATCGTTTTGACTTGGCAAAAGAGTCATCGATGCTTTTTTTGTCATGTATTGAACGTTTGTCATCTTTCCGCACTGTGATAGCCCGGGCCATTCACTGTTGCTTCTCCACCAAATGGTTATCGATGACTCCTCAGCCCATCTTCCTGGCGTCTCTGGTGTTCTCCACTTTGTAGTATAATAGAGTTCGTTTTCCCCTCGTTTTCTTCACTTCACTGTTAATATCTACACTTCATTCCTTCAACGATTCTCGTCAAAGTTATCAAAATGGGAGAATTAGACACCAAGTTGGGGGAAATTTCCCTTAACGACTCAGACACATATCAAGCAACGCCTTTTGGTAAAGAAATGGCCAAGCACTTCCTTTTCGAACCAGGGTGGAGGAATTTGAATCATGGTATATTCATCAAATCCCAACCCCCCCTGCCCCTCCCCTTTCCCCGCCTCCAATCCCAATCACCTAGCTTACGAAATTAGGTTCCTTTGGCACTATTCCTCGTGCCATCCGTGAAAAGCAAAGACAGTATCAAGATGATTCGGAAGCTCGTCCCGACGAGTTTATCCGATATACATACCCTCGAATCCTCAATGAGTCACGAGAAGCATTGGGAAAGCTTCTCAATGTTCCAACTAACACTGTGGTCTTCGTACCAAATGCGACCACTGGGGTCAATACTGTATTAAGAAATTTGGTGTGGAATGAGGATGGGAAAGATGAAATTCTCTATTTCTCTACAATATATGGTGCTTGTGGTTTGACGGTATGTACTTCCAAAAACCTCAGTGTAATTCTCTATGACTGCCATCAACTGATAGTTCACAATGCAACATCAAGTCTAACTTTTACTCATGTGATAGATCAGATATGTTTCGGAGGCCAATCGTGGCCTGGTCCAACCCAGACAGATTACCTTCCAATATCCCATCGAGGATGATGAACTCGTTGGACTATTCGAGAAGGCAATTGAAGTCTCCAAAGCAGAAGGCAAACGCCCTCGAGCTGCTGTATTTGATGTAGTAGGGTCACTTCCTGGATTAAGAGTTCCTTACGAGAAATACATCGAGATCTGCAAAAGGGAAAGCATGTATTCCATCGTTGACGGAGCCCACGGAATTGGTCACGTTTCACTTGATCTATCAAAGCTTGATCCTGATTTCTTCGTCAGCAATTGTCACAAGTGGCTCTTTGTCCCGCGAGGCTGTGCTGTATTTTACGTTCCAGAACGAAACCAAGATCTAATGAGATCAACCTTACCCACATCACATGGTTTCGTTCCTGATGGACCTAGGCCATTCAATCCGTTACCGCCAAGCGCTAAGAGCGTGTTTGTTAATCAATTCGAATTCGTTGGCACGATTGACAACAGCAGCTATCTCTGCACCGCCGAAGCAATCAAATGGCGCAAGGAAGTTTGTGGTGGTGAAGAAGCCATCATGGATTACTGTAGCAATTTATCGCGAGAAGGTGGTAAAGCGATCGCAAAGATCTTGGGTACCAAGGTTCTGGATAATAGTACCAACACATTGACAGATTGTTGTCTTGTCAATGTATTACTACCATTGGAAATTGGAACATCAAATATCGACGCATTCTTCAAGATCAATGAAGATACCAAAATGCAGGCTTACCAATGGATGATGGAAACATTGATAAAGGAATACAAAACATTCATCGCCATAGCATTCGTGGACAACAAATGGTGGGCTAGATTAAGGTATGTGATAATTCACCTGCTCTTTGATTCGTGATTCATACCTTCATAAAAGCTTTTCCACATCATATGTTTAAAAGCTCGTGTTCTGCAACAAACTAACAATCCACTCTCTCACAGTGGACAAGTATATCTCGAAATGGAAGATTTTGAGTGGGCTGGCCATGCACTTAAAGAACTGTGCGCACGAGTTGGGGATGGCGAGTATTTGAAGAAGGAAAAATAAACATATTTCTAACCATTCTATGACTTTTTCAGAATAAAAACGGGGGGTTGGATGGTGAAACACCAAAATATTAGTTTGAGCTTTGGTGAGATTTTGGCGTGGTCAGACTCTGAAATCGGTCCCTGTATGCTTCGGTCCCGGATTATCAATTATCTGTTTTTGGCTCTATCTTCAATTCTTTCCCAGGAACGCAGAAATACTTGTGATGTTGGTCGCCATCGCTATCGCCATTGCTGTCGATGTCGCTGTCGCTAAGCTCAAAATCTTTGATGAGCATCTCGACACTTGATTGTACCTTACATTGTCGTTCCGAACAAATCCTAACCTTATACCCAGTATCTACGTAACTACCTGTCTCAAATCCATTTCCTTTCACCCTAAGGCACCTCTTTTACCCGGTCTCTCTCCCAAATAAAATTTCACAACACCTCACAACGCATCACGATATATCAATATCACGATTTCACCAAAGCACCTCAGTCTAAACTTTGCCTTTCACTTCCCTATATAGTATCACGCCCCACTCAATTGTCCCAAATAGATCAATGAGCACGAGCATTGCATTTTTTCACCACCATTTTTGGGTGCCGTTTGCAGCTTTGACGCTTTTTTTCAGATTCGGATCTGCGCAGGGACGATTGTACGCATGGCTAGTGCACATCATTTTGTCGTTTGTAAGGCATTTTGTTCTTCCTTCAGACTTCTGTGTTAGTGGCAGGGAAGCAGGAAGTCCCTGGAAATGATGCTCGGATGAAAGTGCTGCTGGGAAGAATTTTCCCCCAGTGACCATGTAAGATATATTCGTGTGCGTTCCTGCATCTTTGAGTTTAGAGTTTCTTCCAAACGTTTTTTTCAGACCTGTTTTTACTTTCTTTCTGTTAACATTGCATGTAGTGCTGCTTTGCGGGTCCTAAACTTTGATTTCTGGTAAATCAAATGATCTGCTCTTAGCCAAATCTTATCTACACCTTCATACATTTATTGCTCTTTCGCACTTACAATATCCCCGTGTTATTTATTTGTTTATTGTTTCCTGTTTCCTGTTTACTACTTTACGAGTCACCGAAACAAATTGAACCCATCAAGAGTTCTTTGATTGCTTGAATCCTGTCAAATCTGGAATATTGTTTCATCAATCCGAAACTTGGAAACATCTTGCCTTTAAGCCTGTCTGTTCGAAACTCAAAATACCAAAAGAGTGGGCTTTGACAGTTCCATTTCTCTTTCGACACTGAGTCCTGTATCTACATAAAACTTCTCTTCATCCCTTCAAATACTACAACAATTCACTCGACCATACGACATTCCGTCACCATCATGCATTCGCAAAACACCTACACTCCTGTGACCGAGAACGCTGAGGATGGCTGGCCGTTAAGATTACGACGGCTTAGTCGCTCTATCCTCTCACGCCCCTCTCAAAAGCCCTCTGGTTCTCGAAAAGCACCTCCTCGTCTCCACGATCGACCCATCTTAGTCGAGAACTCGGAGTCAGAGTTGTTGGATATTCTATCTTCGACAATCAATACCACACCAGCTCTCAACGTTAGACCCGTGCATCAACATAAACGTCAAAAAACTTTGGAAGATCCTAGAAGGTTCAATGTTCTTGATCATAAAGCGCCTCAGAAGTCCGTTTTGTTTAGAGCCAGTATGTTTGGAAGTCTCAAAAAGAAAAAGGCTACCCGGCCAAGTACCAGTCCCAATCCAGCCCTCACGACTAGAGAAACACCCACAAAGTGTAGTATCATTCAAGAACGTACTTCTCTGGACATGATCAACAACCTCACTTCCAATCTCTACAATGATTCCCGACCTGCAACGCCGAAACCCAAGAGCAAGTCTCGGGATAGTTCCCCTGTTCGCGCTGCAAAATCCATTGGAAGGAAATTATCAATGAAATTTTCGAGAAAGGCAAGGAAAGTAGAGAATGGAAAATTAGAAAATGAGAAAGCAGGAAATGATATGGAGAAAGATGCAGGCTATCCAATTGACATCAAAATGGTGATCCCGGATCCTGTAGAGCTTCATCCGGCAGTTGTAGCAGAAACACCTCCATCTGGTCCTCTCCTTTCACCAAGGCCTCTACGAAGTAATTTCTCCCGTAAAGATCTTCGACGACCCAATACATCCGCATCTACATCCACCTCAGTGTCAAATTCAGAAGCATCAACTTGTGGTATTGCACCTCTGTCAATCAAGAAAGCATACTCCACTTCAACTCTTCGAAGTAACCAAAGGACTCCTACGGATCTTCCGGCAATGGAAGCACAGGCAGTTAGATCACCGCCGCCTAATTACAATGCTTCGATGGATTTTCCTACGAAGTTGGATAAGGTTCCTGAAGTGGATTTAGCTCAACATCCTGCACTTTCTCGTGTGTCAACCTCCAGAGCATCTCAATCTCAACCCGAGTTGGAGCGATATCCTGCTTCTTTCAGTAAGTCAGTGTTGAGCGAATTTCAATCTGAAGCCGATTTCACCGCTTCTGTTCGACCACAAACCCGCAACAGCAATGCACCTCGGTCCTCCATGGCCACAACCGTTCGTCCCTCTTTCGATCCTTCTGGTACTTATGAGATAACATCCCAAACTACCCATGATACTGTCGCCCCCCTCCTCGTCCGCAAGGGACCCGATGACACTACCCCAAAACGTTTATCTTCCCTCAGGCGCTCTCTCTCAGACTTCAAGTCATCACGCCCCACACCTACTCGTTCCCAAACACAAGGGGTTGATCTTTCTGAACAAATGGGTCTAGTTCCAAAGGTCAAACGCTCAAGCAGCACGCGCTCGAAAACATATTACACGTTAGGGAGCACCGAGGCACCCGTTCCAGGCATAGGCAGGAGCGCGACTGTAAAGAACGCGAAACGCAATTCAACGATATCAAATCGAAGACAATCACATGTGTCAAATGAAGCTCCTCTTTCCGTTTTGCCTTCTCCTACATCTTCCGAACCCCGAAATTCTATGGCAACTATCAGAACTGTACCTTACGAGATAGAATTTCTACCCATCAAAGCCAGTCCGAGTCGTGTGAAGAACGCTCCTAAGCCCGATACATTGCGATCTCAAATCAACGCTCCAGTTTTGATCGAGGAGAAGAAACGTGCCCAAACACCGCGTCGATCCAAGAGACCCGATTACTTGAAGATGTTCGACGTACCTAATTTGATGATGGATTGTGGAGGTTATGACGAGTATAGTTATTCCGAATATACGTACTCTGAATATGCGCCATACTCGACGGGGGAGATGATCAAGAGAGTTTCTATGACGGTCACAAAACAATGCTCTGATTCTGGAAATTCGAGAGATGGAGAATTTGAGAAATTTATGGAAAATGCGAAGAAGGTGGCTAGGGAGGAGAAACCTAGAGTGATGGGGAGAGATGTAGTTGTGGGGGAGAATATCAGGGGGATGGAGAGGAAAAGAACTGTCTGGGGGAGTTTGAGAAGAAGGGATCGTTACGAGACGACGAAGGGTGTGAGGGCTTGAATGCAGATTTACGGGGTATATTGATCGTGCTTGATCGGGATGAGAGATGAAGAGTTAGTGTGCGGCTGTAATGGCAGTTGTGATTCCACCATTTTCCTTTGTTTTTGCCAACATAATATCCTGTTTCTTTACTCGATGTAAATTTTGTTATATATCAACACTACTAGTATATTCATACTTTTCATTTGTCATCTTACTATATTCTATAGAAATTTATTAAAAATTCACTATTATGCATTGGTGCATCATTCGATATGTAGTGACGCATGCAATGGTCCGTGTCAATATTGAAAATCGTGCTTGAACCAGAAATTAAAAAATTATCTGTCTTTCCAAGTAACTTATCAATAGACAGAGTTGCGGCGAAGTTGAATCATCGTGACAGTTAGAAGTGTCTTTTCGTGTTGGGCAGAAATGGTGGCTGAGATGTTCCAGTTTGAAATTTCCTCATTACTACACTTTCGAACGAGAGCGACGTGAATGTAAAGTGGAATATTCCAGAATACTGGCTTGACTCTGAGCTGCAGATGGTGATACGTTCTTGGATCTATGGCTGAGATAATGATTGAGAGCAGTCTTTCATTTGAGGAGTAACTGCAGAAAGAGAAGCCAGCCATGATTCTCATCTCTGTAAAGAACAAAGAGAAGAGAACCCCTGTTTCAAGCCTGCTGTTCCAGCCTCAGGGAAAGATCTCACAGCCATGATCTTTATGGATAGGGGTTTGGGCAGTCGCATACGTATGCTGTGGATGAAATTGATAGATTTGCGTTTGTGAATAAAGAATTAAGAGACAGAGTGAGATGAGACCGAATAAAGAATTAAGAGACACAGTGAGATGAGACCAAATAGAACTCTGAAGAGCTTCCACGAAGAAAATGGAAGAAACATTCGACTACTTACAATTCTGCTGCCTATAAAGCACTGATTCCCAGAACTGATCAACTATCAAAATCCAGCACTTCAAAGGAAATCACAAGATCACAACACACAACTTGCCAACCATGGTCTACGTTAAAGTTTCAGTCGTCATGAGCCGCGACATCGAGTGCGACTGCACTACCAGGTACAACGGACTCAGCCATGAAGCTGTCTTCCAACGTCGCTTCAACCCAGAAACCAACGAGTTTTACGTCGATAATCCAGCCGACATTCTCGGCGCACTAGGCTGTTGCGGTGCTCTCAAATTCAAATCTCGCAATGCGGACGGCGAAGTGACTATTGATGAAGGATCGCATGTAGCTGCCATCGACAGCGCATGCAGCGACAACGGAAAAGAAGGCGTTCGAGCTGCATATGGTGTTTATGTGGGTGACACGACACCTCGTTGCGTTTCGAAGCTTCTCGATGAGAATCTCCCGCAGACGACTCAAGTAGCTGAGTTAGTTGCTGTGCGTGCGGTTTTGAGAATGGCCGAGAATGTCTTGGATGCTTTTATCGACCGGGGTGGAAATGATGACGGCGATGAGGACTCACCCAGAATTTCTAAGATCCTCATCATTACCAATTCGCCGTATGTGGTAGATGGGTTCTCGGATTGGATCTACAAGTGGAAGGAAAATGGATTCAAGACCTCGACTGGCAAGCCGGTTGTTAATGCAGAGCTATTCCGAGAGCTGGACGCTTTGATCTCGAAGTTCAATCACTTTCATATTCCGGTTTGGTTTTGGCAGGTGAAGAAAGAATTTAATGCGTCGGCGGATGCATTGGCTCGTAAGCCTCTTTTTGGAGAGCAGAAGGTTCCGGCTTTGGTCCCGTTTGTTAGGGATTATAAGAAGTTTCCGAAGAAGTGTTGAGAGGTGTTTGATTGAGGGAGCTGGTGATGTTGGCAGAGAATCTTTTCCTTGGATCGGACATGAATGTTGAGGGAGCTGGTCAAGTTGGCAGAGAATCTTTTCCTTGGTTCGGACATGAATGTTGAGGGATGTTGTTTGCACTGCGATTGTTTTGTGTGGTTCATGGTTTGAGAAATTTGGTTGAGTCCGAAAGCATGCGGTTAATTGGCAATGATTTTGTTTGAAGTTTTTGTTGCGTACATTTCATTTGATATTCTTTACTACGAAATCTCTGTTCTGAATTTAATTATGTTGCATCTCTAACATTGCTTGAAGATTGTAGTGTTGTGATAACATGGCGATGTTAGTGATTGTGAGTAACCTCCAGCAAACATGATTCTCAGAACCTACCTTTCGTGATCTCATATACAGATTTTTCAATGGTAACAGCCACGCTGAATTGAAAACTTGCCCCGTTATCAATTTATTACACCCAAAAAGCAGGAAAAGAATAACTATTGCCAACCTATGCTAGTCTAGGATTTTCATCTCCTCCCTGGCTAATATTTAGCTTTGGAATGAACTGCCTCGCATTTCAAGCTGCATTCTCAAACAGCTCGACTCGTCAGTCGAGAATCACATGAGCAATTGACTGATCAATAAGTGATTCGATTCATCAGTCGATAGTTGGGCACGTTGTGAGCGATGTTAGTTGCTCATTAAGACAAGATCATGCGCATACACGGCATATCATATGTCAGGATTTCATAGATCACTTATCGATTAGTAAGTATTCACCTAAATGGAACGTCGAGGGCGTGCAGTGTAAGTTTCGTTTATGTATTTACCTTCGTAAATCACGTGGATATCATGAACCCTTCGAGTGAGTCGTTACTTCCTTAATCTGCAATACGTATTGGTAATGGGAAGGCGTTAATTGCTCCCTGCTAAGTTTTGTTTACAAGAAGTGCTTTGGAAATTCATTTTCATTCCCTTGACAACTTGCAATCTTCAATTGGCTTGCAGCATTATAATCAATTTTGGAAGACTCATACATACTTTACTTGTATCTTCAAGATACTTAATTATGGCTCACCGATTTCCCATCTTCGATACTTGGAAGTCTTACAAAGAGCTGGAAAAGAGGTTTTTCGGGTGGCTCGTGAAAACAGCATCTGCAATAGAACAAGATCTCAAGTCCCCTGGCTCTATGTCTCGACTTGAATACATCAGGAGACTTACCAAGGTTGTCACTAGCGAGAAACAAGAGCTACCAAGTAACGTTCGAGACGATCTAGCTCAAGTTATATCTAAACGCAAGGAGGCAGCGGAATGGTATGGACGTAACAACCAGGCAGATGAAGGCCACATGCATTATTTGGAAATGTTGCAAGAGATATTGAAACTATTCGAGGATCTCTACTCCAAGGACCGAAATGTGGCACTGGATGATGAGGCTAATCGGAAAACCCAAATTGATTCGGAGATCACCAACGATGAAGGAGTCACCAACAACCAATTCGGTAGCTTGGAGATTGAAAGTACTAACCTATCATCCTCGGATTCGGATAGTGATGGAGAGATAAATTCAACTGGCGGTCGTGCAAGAAATTACAGAAAGCCAAAGGCAAATAAGAAAGGAAAGAATGCTAAAAATCCAAAGAGTGGAATGATTGGAAAGAACAAAATTGAGATACCGATAAAGGAACAAACCACGCGATTAGAAGCAGATGCTTCCGATCCATTCGACGAATACATGAGAGTTTACTTCTTTCTCAAAGGTATAAGTACCATGAGAACCTATCTACTCGAACAGTGGAGCGACTACTCAATCGAACTTCTCAGTCTAGCAAACGTCTCATTTATCACGAATCTAGCAATGGGAATTCTCCAGAAGTCCGAGAAAGTTTTGCTTTCCAATCTACCAAGTGGTAAACAAAGCTATGAAAGCATTGCAAATATCATGTATCCGGATGTCAACAAGTTGATGGAGAAAATCAAAAAAGCAGGCGCCACTGACTTCAACGAATTGATGCATTTCAATGATGAAAGTAAGGACAGCCAAGAGCATAATGCTGTTGTTAAAATTGAGGTTAGTGCATCTTACTATCAATTGTGCAAAGTGTTTCACATTTACACACTCGGTACTTTGGAGAAGACGAGAAAATCCATCATTCATTCGAATCGAAGTCGTTCAGATCACACAAGTGACACAACGATTATCTGATGATGTCCAATTGTCTTCCTTGCTAACAAGTTTTGTGCAGGACTATCTGTGCTACACCACATGGTCGATACTATCTGAATGGCGTGGAGATTTCTCAGTGGATCAACACCAAAGAATTCCTATTCATCGACTGGTCGCGCCGGAAGATAACAAGAAGTTCACCTTGGAAGATAAGATTGATCTTAATCGCAACATCTTACACGAATTACTTTATGAGGTCTGGCACCTCAAGAAAGAGATGGATAAACACGATCGTAGGAACTATTATCCAGATGAGTTCACGAATGGTATCCAGGAGTTTCTAAAGAATAAAAAAATTCCAATATGGTTAGTCTTCGCGGCACAGATCATGTGCGACATTCGGTTCATTCTGGGGAAGGAAGTAGTACATTGCCACGATGAGGCTGTTTTGTTTTCTAGTCATATGTTACAGCTTCTGCACAATTACATCATGACAGAAAGGCTTCACAAGTTGAATTGTTTACATTTTGTAACGTATGCACTTTATAACGATCTGTGGAGGTACAACTTGAAAGACTGGATGAGTCCGAATTTTGACCCTAAGTCCGATGACTGGGAGAAGCATCCCCCGCCAATTTCAAAGAAAAACCATGAGAAATTCTCCTATCTACGCCGGAATCCTATTATGTGTGGGCTGTTGATCTTTGGAAACACGATAAGATATCATGAAGCGGGAGTTCATCATGCAGCCTTTGAACCTAGTACAATTAGCTGTATACATCTTTACAACGCACTTCGTCAAGAGTCGCGGAAAGATTTGGATGAATATCCCGAGTGGAAAGATATGGAATTTCTCATCTTGATACAACCAGTGGATCAATTATTCAATCAAAGGGATGAGCCTTCCAATTCGAATGACTATGTTGTGAGCTTTGAGAAAAAGATTCAAAAGCGATATCCAACAGCGCTAGGGTTGAAGCGTATTTCGAGGCTTGCCAAATACTTTCACCGCACTTACTGTTTTCTGAAATATTGTGATCATCATGGGTGCTCGGCTGATTTTAAAAGTTTGTTTATCGCAATGCACAGCGACAAATTGGATGAGCTACTACTCAGTTTGAAGACCATCTTCCCCGGGAACCAACTTTCTCCTCCACCTTCAGATGAGGTGCCCAGCAATTTCTCTAACTGTATTGAAGATCTAAATGACAGAATGGAACTGGAGTTTTTAGACAAGGAACCAAGCAAATGGAAGAAAGTTGAATTTCTCAGAGCTATGACTAGACTGATGGAAAAAGAATCCCTCTTTCTGTACTTCGATTGGCACGGAGTTCTCGTTGCATGCAGACATGTGCTTAAGAGGTTGGATGAGGAGTTCCGATCAGAAATCGACGGAGCGGCGTCTGGAATTTCTCTTTTCCCCAACGCTTCAGATTCGGGTCAGGTGATCCATTTCCTATTGACACGGTTAGGTAAGAGTGAGGAAGTTAGAAAAGATACCGTACGAAGGATGCGAAAAGTTTTCGACAGGAGATTTGGTAGGGCCTGGAGCTGGCCAGGGGAAGACAAACACCTGGTGATCAGGGCGGTGAATTCGTTCTTGGTCAAAAGACCTCGATACAAAGCCTCGGAAGTTGAGATGGAGTTGAACCGTATGTGGTATTATAGATAACGCGCAGAGCAACCGTTGGAATTAATTATCAATAGTTGAAAGGGATTGTACCTGGTGTACCTGTTATTGATTATGTAGAGATAATCCAAAGATATTGATTGGGACATGATACGAAATTGTGATGATTGCAATTATGAGTGCACAAATCCACTAAACGATTTCTCTCCCTCATAAAACAACTAGCCCCCCAAAGCATACACATTCAAACTATTATAAATGAGTAATCAAACCTTCAAGCCAAGAACCCTAAGAAAATAGTAAGGAAATTAAACAACAAATGAGGTTGAAACACACAAAGCAGCCACATCTCGTGACAGCCCTATGATTTTATTTATTTTTTCAGTTTGACTCGCGCTTGCGCTTGCTTACATGCCGCCAAGTTTTGAGTCAGCATGGTGCATGTTGCATTGAATTTTGTAAGGATTCCTGAGGGATCTTCAGCTTTTGTTTGAGGGTGTGTATTCTTAATCGTGACAATTGAGGGAGATTGATGCTGGAGATTGCAAATCGTAATTGCAGAATGAGGAAATGAGAGATATGAAAAGGGTGAAGGGTTGGGGGCGGGGGGGTGATTTGCTGTGATAGAGGGGGAGATGGGATGGGTTAGGCGAGGATAAGAAGATTAGAAATGATGATTTGCGATGGGAGGAGGAAATGAGAATGAGAATGGAAAGGCAGAGGGGGAAGGGAGATTGATGATGAATTTTTTGAAACATGTGGTTGAACGCCTCGATCTTGGTTTAGTCAGAAATTTGGGGTTCTGTCTCCGAGATTGGAGAGAGGTTGTAGATTGATGCATCGATGCATCGTTGAACCAAGTTGCGTGGGAGTTCAATGATCGATGAGTCAAGTGTCGCGCTCGTACTGTGATACAAGATTAAGTTTGAGAAACTGTTGATTTGGGAGATGGAATCGAGAGGCGTTGAGAGGCGTTGAGGGGCGTTGAGGAAAGTCAAGGGGAGGAATAAGTGTCTTGAAGTTGTGGGTGAGAGCCGATGAGATGGGAGGCGAGATGGAATTGATGGTTATTTGATTGGGAGTTGAAGAGATGATGGCGTTGGATTGAGAGCGAGGCTTGATGTGGTGAAGTGGTTGTGGAAAGGTATAAGTAGATTGAAATATCATTGTCGAAGAATGAAATCTACAACGCACTCTATTCCTTCATTCCAATACATTCCACTCTTTCCAGTTCCTATCGCTTGCACAATCATCAAAATCTTCTTTCATTCGCTTCAGATTCCAAGATACCACGTTTATTCCACATCTCGCTAAACTTGCACAATCTTCAAGATGCATTACCAGTACATCTTCCTTTCCTGCACTTAACAACCACAGATTACAACTAACCTCTCACTATAGAATCTTTCTCATCGCCACGTTCGCCATCGCAGCTCCCCTTTCCCTCGCCCTTCCTTTCGCCGACCCTGAGCCTGCAAAAGGTGCCCCAGCTACAACCAAAATACCTGAAAACCAGAACATTTACGCCAAGCCTACTTGGCTTTCTATTCCCATCATTGACCCTACAAAACTTTCCATTTTTCCCACTCCTGCGCCTACGCAGAAGCCAGAACCTGTTACCACGAAGGGTGAGCAACAGGATGGACAGGGTCATGCTACTAAGACAGTGAAGGGGGGCGAGGGCGGGCCGGCGCAGAGTAGTCAGGTCTCTACTACGCATGCTCCTAAGAATCCAGAGGCCAAGGGGAAGGGAAAGGGCCAGAGGGATGTTGAGGAACTAGAGGATAGGGACTTTGCTGATTTGGATTTAGATTGGGAGATAGAGGGAAGATTAGCGGATGTGAGAGTCGAATTGGAGGAGAGAGCTGAACATGGAAAGCCAACTGGAGGTTTTACTGGAAAACCTGATCCGACACCTGCACCTACCGCCACTGCAAAACCAACACAGCATTCCACTGCGAAGCCGGATACTGAGCCGGCTCAAACCGCCACGGCTAAGCCAACTCAGCACTTCACTGGCAAGCTTGACGGACCCGAACAAACAGTAATAGCTAAACCCACTGATTACTTCACCGGAAAACTAACCCAACACTTTACCGAAAAGCCGGATACACCACCTACCAAAACAATCAATACTACCGAACCTATCAAGACTTCTATCGTTTTCACCGATAAGCCAGAAACTGTTCCAAGAACATTCACAACCATGTACAATAATGAAGGCCAGGCTACCTCAAGTTCCGCTCTGATCAATACTTATGGACCGGCTAGTAGCAGTGTTAGTGTAGATCCCGTGCCAGTCGGTACTGGGAAGCCTACTGGAGGAAGAGGATTTTAGGTCTTGTCGTTTGAGGAAAGTGGGGTTCGTTTGGTTGTTTGTGTTTAGATAAGTATGGGGAGAATGGTGTGAAGAGTTGGGCTTCCAGGTGCTAGAGGGCATTTTCTTTTGTTTTTGTACTGATTTTGGTTTTTGAATTGAAGAAGTGATTGAAGGGTATGGTTTTGAGAGTTGATTGATTCGGATATGAGGAAGTGTATATTAAGCACGATAGATATAAAATATGAAAAGAATTTTGGGGATAAACTACTGGTCCATCTTATTGTACATGTTAAGTTTACAACAAATATACGAAGCAACATGCAATTTTCGCCCTGAATGAACAATTTCCAGAAGTAGAACTCTTTCGAAGAAAATTATCTGGCCAAAAATAGGTTTGAGCCTAGTGGTCCCGAGGTTTCGGGACCGATCATCCCATCAACGCTAAATAGAGCTTGCGTATTTTTGGGCCACCAACTAGCTACCGGCTAGCTAGTTTCTGTCCGGTACGTGAAATCAGATGATATTCGTTGGTTAAACGTAACGTCACAACCTTTTTAGAATGGTCTTTTGCCATAATTTAAATTTGACTGTCTGGAAAATGGATGGAGTTTGTGGAGGTGATGTCATACACAGTTGAATTTTCTCGAGAATTCATGTTTTCACGGTGTATACGATATGCCGAGCATTAAGGGCGGATTGGTAGTCGTATTTCTGAAGTCTCCTGATAATTTGTCACAACTATAACGACGGGAGAGTTTTCGTGGTGATATATAACATGGAGAGGTGAGTGTTTCGTTCGATGACTCAAAGAGGAATATATCGACTATACTTTCCAACATCTTGGAATTATCAAATAAACTTATTCAGCTTCTCAAAATATGGTATATAAAATCACAAAAAAGGAAACCCAGCTGGTGGTTTATAACCATTTCAATGGTACGCACGACGAGATGCTTACTCGTTTCCGCGTTTCTGAGTTATGTAAAGGTTGGCCTTTGTACCGTGATGCGTCAGAATGGACAAATTATCGAAGTATATTCACCAAAGAGGGTGCTAAGATCTGGACTTGTAAGTAATTACATAAAATCTCTAGGCTTTCACACCAAGGAAGATACTGATAAGAGAACAGCATGGAGTGGAGAGAAGGCCATTGATGATTTTATCAGCGTATCCAAGGAAGGAAGAAAGAACGTAGATTTTATCATGCACCGCGAAAATGGAACGTTGGTCGACCTCAACCTTCCTCTTGGTCGAGCCATTGGAAAAATGAAGGCCACAATTACTCAACGATTCGTTATCTAGGATACCCTAATCGATGTAGAATGTGATTGCCGATTTATCTTCTGGTAAATTATCGAAGATGGCGAATAGAAAGTCAAATACAATCGTTTATTCTAAGAAAAAGACAAGGTGATTGCGGCTGATGGAAAGAATCTTCCAGGTATTTTCACCAAAGAGGAGTTAGAGAAATATCCAGAGGGGTAAAGATATTTAGCTGTTGCACAGCATAAAATTACACATTCGATTTTGGAGGATTCACCAACTATGATGGGAAGACCTTTTGGAAAGATGTATGAGGCTATGGCAGCATGGTTAAAGGCGAGGATGTCGACCTAAACTGGGACTAAGCAGTTGTAATCAGAGGACGATTTGTGATGGATTTGGAGCGTATATTGGATTTACAACAGGAACAAACTTGATGCATATCATGTATTAGCTCCAGCCAACTAAGTTGAACGTCTGCATCTAAAACTAGAAGATAAGGAAAGACCTTGCAACTCTCGAGACTTCAAGAGCTTCAAGAGTGTTCCTGTGTAGAGCAATACATCATAATCTATCCTGTGAATCTTCGAGCTGAGCTATCGAGACTGGTATGTGTGCCTTGGTATCGACGAAGCTGTACTTCATCTTCAATGAAGATGCAATCTGAGCATACTCGGATCTCAAACCAGATACAGTGGTAACCTTAAATGGGAGACACTGGTGGACATGTTATAAGCATACCAATGCCGCGACATAGCTTACAACACACCCAGTATTAATCGATGGCATTCAACAGACCATTCAAGGATGGAATGAATACAGTATCTTCTTTGGTGGATTCAATGTGTGTGAGATGACATTCGTTATCGATCACCCAAGCCTACAATAAAGAAAAGATCGATAATTATCAAAGTGTTGAGATACAACGCTAAGAAATATTTGCTGACTAATCTTAAGTCCCCACATTTTCTGTGGGTTTGGTGTCTCCTTCAAATTGATATTCGGATTTCAACATCATCAGAACCTCAATTCTTTCCTTAATATTGACATCATGGCTGTGCAAAACGGACCCGGAGGTATCAGCAGTGACCCAAATGTTAACTCAACATTGGGAGACATAGAAAAATGGATCAAGAACAGAGATTCAAGCAAGAACAACAACTTAGTCGCCGCAGTGGTGGGATGTGGTGAGTCAGAAAATTTACATGAAAAGGAAAGTCACTCACAAAGTTCAGGAAATATGGGTAGTTCTATCCTTACTGGTATTCTTGCTGCCAATTCACTGCCAGATGCAAGGAATAACACACCAGTTTCACATATCATTGCTTGTACCAAGTCAGAAGCTTCAGCTTCCAGAGTATACTCGGCATCAAAAGAATCCAAGGCTGCAGACAGACTCGCCGTCTTCTATGATAACAACTTAAAAGCTTTTCAATTGGCTGATGTTATCATTCTGGCATGCAAGCCATATATGGCCGAGGAAGTTCTCGGAGCTCCTGGTGTTGGTGATGCTTTAACAAACAAACTTGTCATCTCAGTCTTGGCAGGATCGACAACTGAGCAGTTGAAGGATTTTGCGTTCAAAGGTAGCTCAGACACAAAAGGGTGCGCATTTGTTAGAAGCATGCCAAATCTTGGTGCACAAATCAAGGAATCATCAACCGTTATCTCAACTGGATCGGAGACCATTTCTCCAAAATACGAAGAGGCTATGAAATGGATCTTTCAAAGTATTGGTCAATATACATATGTACCCGACAATGTATTCCAAGTTGCAGGTGTCCTTGCTGGTTGCACTCCAGCATGGTTCCTCACTGCCTTTGATGGAATCCTCGACGGTGCTGTTTCCGAAGGGATGAGACGAGATACCGCCACTGAGATTTTGGCTGGTTCTATGCTCGCAGCCGCAAAGTTGATACAGAATGGTGAACATCCTGCTGTTCTCAGAGAGAAGGTTTCATCTCCCAAGGGTACCACAATTCAAGGTCTGAAAACTATTGAGAAAGGCGGTGTCCGATCAACATACTGTGATGCGACCATTGATTCGGTTCAACACGGATTGAATATGGGCAAGAAGTAAATAATTTCTTGTCTTTATTGGGGACTGGTTTGACGCTTGGTGATCCGACACGATATTTTGCTTGAGGTTGGACGCTTTGAAGCACTCATGCCATTTATTTCTTGCTCTACTTTTCACTGAACGAAGATATAAATCCGATAAAAGGAGCTCGGGCTTCAGTAGAATAGAACATCGTCTAAATAGACCAAATTTTTATCGAAGTTTTTACCGACCTAGATCTATAGTTCCTCGGATATTTTCTTCTAATTCATGACACTAATATTCTAGGGGCGTGACAGACGGCTGGCCGAAAGGCGCAAAGTATACACTCTAAGACTTCGATTGAAATAAAAGATAGTTCTTACTTTATTTTCACTCTGCCTCCCAACAGCTACCCTGAAGATTCCTTCTCTTCAACATTGTTTGACGTGATGGAGTCGAATGATAATGATCGGCAAACAAAAGTGGCTCGACGTAAGGTTCGCCAACACGTTTCTTTTACCAACTACCCTGGCTGTTTCAAGAATAAGATGTCTAGGCATACCCCCCTCGGTACTCCTTATCACGGAAAGCGAGGAGCCAAAGGATCGCCGAGTCGATCTGTGCTCTATAATCCATTTACCACTCAAATCCAGATTCCTATTCTGGACTTATGCATATGAATGTCACAATAAACTAAACGATAAGGACCCACCCTCCCGATAAGGCAATACTATGATATCGATATGCGGGGTCAAAGTGCCATTACGAGGTGGATGCCTCGATGCATGCCAATATACACCCGGTGATACACGAACCAACTGTTGTGTAGAACGATCAGGTTGATAAGTGATAGTTTCCGGATATATCACAGGGTTTATACTATGTAGGACCCAGGTAATGTTTACTTCGAGACTCTTGATCTCTTGGTCTTTCTTTTTATCTCGAGTGTGCTACCTACCTTCATTGAAATGTTCCTACGACGATCTTCTAGATTTCTTTCACTTACACCAAAGAGATATCACATACCATCTCTCAAACACTATTCATCCATTACCTCAACTATCTCTCCTCAAAATGGGTTTCCACACACACCCACCCCCACCCCTCCTCCCTTCAGCACTTCTCCAACCTCCGAACTTCCACCCCTCTCCATAATGCCGCTTCCTCTCCTCCTCAAATCCTACCTCATAACCTCCATTCTTGCCTCCCCAAAAATCATCAAGTTCTTCCTTCCTCTTCTCAACAAACTCGCAAATTCCAGCTCCACGATCTTAAATCCCGATAGAAATCCAGTGTTGCATATGATCGTCCGAAAATTCATCTACGATCATTTCATTGCCGGGGAAAATGCTACTCAAGTGAGAGCTCGGGTGAAAGAGATGAAGGGACTGGGATTTAGCGGGGTGATATTGGGATATGCGAGGGAAGTTAATGTTTCTGGGGGAGAAGTGGGCGGAGACGTATCAGGGGTGAGCGAGGAGGTAGGGGAGCGAGCTATTAGGGAATGGAGAGATGGACTCATGAGTACCCTTTCTTTGCTACAACCTGGAGATTTTCTATCGCTCAAGTAAGATTTCCCTCTCTCTCTTGAACATCAATAACAGCATCAATATTCCAAATCCCAACAATCAACCCACTAAACCTCCCACCCCTAGATTCTCAGGCGCAGGCCCCCTCGTCCTCCACGCCCTCCAAAACTCCCTCCCCCCACCACCCCTCCTCCTCCAATCCATGCATCTACTCCTCCGCACCGCCGCCTCCCAATCCGCGCGTATCTGGCTCGATGCAGAACAACAAGACTTACAACACACTATCGAGTCATGGACTATCGATCTCATGCGCATCTACAACACCGGATCCCAAGCATTACTCTACACAACCATGCAAGCATATTTAAAATCCACCCCATCGAATATCCTGAGATGTTTAAAGCTCGCACAGAAAGAGAATTGGGTGCTGGGCATAAAATTAGTCAGGGGTGCGTACATTGCTACCGAGAAGCGGGAGTTGATATGGGGAAGTATTGAAGAGACACATGAGGCCTATAATGGAATTGCTGCTGGTTTGCTAAGTCTATCGTATCCGGGGATAGATGTCGAGAAAAATACTGCAATTAGAGAGAGGACAGGGGGAATGGGAAAAGAAAAAGAAAAAGAAGAGGCATATCCGCGCGCAGAATTATTCCTCGCCACGCACAACGAAGAGAGTATCAAAAAAGCCTACACACTTCAAAGCTCACGAATCCTGTCCGGAAAACCCACAATCGAATTGGCGTTTGGACAGCTGCAAGGAATGGCTGATGAGATCAGTTGCAGCTTACTACAACTCCGTCGAAAAGAACCCCAGGACTCGAAGAGTGCATCACTAGCTTCCAAAGGTCCTGTGAAATCAGAGGAGGAGTTCAGATTAACGCAGGAGTTAAAACCAAAAGCGTATAAATGTATGGTGTGGGGATCTACGCAGCAGTGTCTACAATTTTTATTGAGGAGGGTAAAGGAAAATGGAGATGCGCTTGGAAGGACGGGGTATTGGGTTGAAGGGTTTAAGAGGGAGATATGGAGGAGGGTGAGAAGTTCTTCTGGGATGAAGAGGAGGAGAGTTTTGGAGAGCGCTAATGCAGGGATGGTTCGGAAGAGGGTTTCGTGAGAGGATGTGTGGTTCTGTAGAGGGAGATTAAGGAGAAAGGAGTTGTGGAATATGTATGGAGAAGTCTGGAGTTGGAGTTTGTGATTTGGTGGAGAGGAGTTGAGTTAGTGAGTACGTTATATGTTTTGACAATCCAGGTTTTGAAAGCGCTACACACAATAGAGTGACTGTTATAAGCTTTACAAAAAAAGCCAGAAAAAAAGATTAGAAGTTACTTTGTGACTCGTTCAACCCATATCTGAACGGAACTGACAAGCAGTTTGATTGAGATACAATGGGGCGGTGCCCCCGATACAAGCCACGAGAGATGGACTCGATTGAGCTATAATACTAAACCACTACCTACACCATGCTACTTCTGTCAGATTAGTACCGTACCAAATCTAAAATAGCAGATAGTGTGAAAAATATCAAGAGCAATGATTTGCAGATAAATACATACCACGTACCATACCGAATCAACTAACATCCCCTCATCCACAAGCCTACGAGTATTATTCCTCGTCACTTATATTCTCAACTTGATAATTATATCCTCCCAGCCGAACGGATTACTTCACTCCCATCCTAAATGTAAGTGCAAATAAACATACACATACGTCATCCCAATCTCATCTCAAGTAATTCTTACAAAGAGTGCTCAATTCATGGTATCATATTCTACACCCCTCGCTCCATCCATCCGTTGACCAAGCACAAAACAGTCTGTCTATATATTCTCCTCTCAGCTAAACCCTAGCTAATCCAGTAAATCCATCAAGTCCAGTGTATACAGTTCCGGCCAATCCAGCAATTCAACTATCGACCATTCATCTATCGTTACAGACAGCTCCAATACTCATTCTATCTCTATTGAGAACGACAATTGTATCTCCAGCATTCCCACTCCCACTCACCCCCATATCCTCGAAACTAATTTCCATACTATTTCGTTTACTTCTCGTTCCATACGAATGTTTCATCGCCTGTACCTGTCTCGACTGCACCACAATAGTATTTTGATCCTCTTCCAAAGCCGGTTCGAGCGGCAAACTAGCCCTCTCCTTCTCCCCTCTATCAACCATCTTTCCCTTTCCTTTCCCCAGATCTTTCCTTCCTGATTCCGGAGATCCAGTGGGAGGCAAACTACTCAAACTCATTCCTTTTATGCTAATACTAGAATCTAACAGTCCTCGCATATTTGGCAGACCAATTCCTTCCAATGCACCCTCTATGCCAACATCTGAGAAAGATCTCTTGTATCCAATGCTGTTCCCTGGTACATTTTCGGCAAGTCGTTCAAATGGTACTCTGCCGCGTAAGTCCTCTAGAAGTTCTTCGGAGAGCGTGTTGTTGGTGAGTCTGCGGACGATTTTCAAGAGAGAGTCTTCAAGCCAAGCACCACTTCGATGTGGTTCGGTTGGACAAGCTTTCGCGGGAGTGTTGTCGGGGATAGTTTTCCGTCTTTGGGATTTGCTACTTGTGGAAGTTGTGGAAACTTTGATAGTCGATGAAGCTGGGAGAGATTTTCGACCTTTTCTAATGGGTAACACTGACGCTCGAGGCTTCTTAATCGGTTTCTTTTCTGATATTTGTCCAGTCGAAGCTCTGAAAGGTCTACTACGATCGAAAGGCACCCAGTACATTGGCCGTACTGATCCATTCCCTTCGGCATCCTTGAGTTTCCGCAGGTCGTCAAGGATCTTGAATGTGAAATGAACTGCATTGGTCTTATCGTCTCTCTTACACTGTGGACGGTATGGTGGTATTTTATCAGATGTGTTACGCTGCCTGGAAGGCGCCGGTTCCTTGCTGGCAACGGTTTGTGTGACATTTGTATATGGCTGCCAGATATCACTTCGTCTCTTTTTCAAGTCCAGCACCCATGCATCACAATCCCATTCTACCCAATAGTCGATCACATCGCCCCATTGACTCTCGGGTGGCTTCGTTTGATTAACGAAAATGACACTCCCTCCTCTAGCATGTACAGCTTGTGCGAATTCTTTGACCATAATCTTGAGCCCGTGAACTCTCAAGCTAGTACCAAGAATAAGAAGGACATCTGGACCTAATTTTAGATCGTGAATAATTAACGGCCCCACCAAATTTGCGTGCGGATGTTCTTCTCCATAAAGAACAATGTCAGGCCTCAATCTCCCCACAGCCAAACCTCTGCGACCTTTGTCTTGACGTGATATAGAGCTTGAAATACAAGAAGGACAATCGGGAGCGGACCCAGCCATTGTAGTAGTCTCCCTATCTTCCTCGTCCCAACTGGTAAGTTTCGAACATACACCGCATCGCAACTTACGAAGTGACCCGTGTAGCAAAACGCACTCTACTCCAGTTGCAGCAGGGGCTTCTTTTCCTCCTCGTTCATCTGCTCCAGCTGTGAGTGATTTGCCCTGGATTTTGGTTTGAAAACGCGTGCGATCACCCGCGCCAAGTTCGAGATCCGTAGTGAGTCCCTCGCGTTCTTCGAGGCAATCGATATTTTGTGTGTAATTCCGGACGAGGCGACCGTTGTCTCTGAGAGAGCGGATAAATTGGTGGGTGGTGGTGGTAGACTTGACATCGTTATTAATTCTGCGACGAAAATTGGAGATGAACATGTAAAATATAGAAGTTGAGAAAGGATCGGACCAAATGACTGAGTCAAATAGATCTTTTCCTTTGAGATTTGGTAATGTACGTGATGAAGCTGATTGAGATGATTGTGAAGGAGGTTCTTCGAATTCGGAAGCAGTTGTGACGGAACTGACTTCACTCAACAGATTTCGTTTGTTGTTGTTGTTGCTGTTGTTGTTGCTACTACAATCACTTGATGAAGCTGAAGGTGTGGCGCTGCCAGTTGTAGATGCACTTTCAGTATTTGTGGTTGAAGAGAGTTTGCTATTGGAAAGTTCAAATGCAGGTGTATTTCTTCGAGAAGATTTTCTGAGAAGTGAAGAGGATAGTTCTGTCAGTTGTGGAGGTAAACTATCAGCTCGTGATTTCACTGATTGTCGTGAAGTCTTGCTTTCGACAATTGAACTGGCGACAGAAGGTATAAGTGACGAAGACCTTTGAAGTGTTCGTGATTTTGAAGGAATAGATTTTGGATTGCTGGTTGAGGCTTGAATTGTTGACCGAAGACTACTTTCACGTCGTAGTGAATTTGATGAGGAAGAATCGGAAGAAATTCTTGCCGTATTGGAATTTTCATCTTTCGCTGTAGATAAGGGAGAGCTTGTTCGGAGTGAACGTCGAGTTCGTTTTTGTTTGTTGTCAATTGACTCCAAGTCCTGGGGCAACCGAGAATATTCCGATGAATATTGAGATGAATATTCACTCGATTCTTGAAGTAATTGTTGTGAAGCATTCTCTTCAGTATTGGATCCTTCCGAATCGAGCTCCATTTCCATTGAAGGATTTATTTCTTCATGAGATTTAGTATCTTCAATTTGAGATACTCGTCGATTGGGGTTTTCGGTGGTAGTACACTCAACTTTGGATTTGGCACATGGTTCACAGCTTGGTCGGGTATCACCACACTTGATCTTTCGAACTCGACACCTATCACAAGCGCGAATAGCCCGAAGTTTGGAAGACTTGCCCTTGGTGTTGGATTTTGGCGATTCAATCTTGATATCATCTTGTGCCAGAATAGAAGTTCGAGACCTGAAAGCTTGCCTTTTCGGGGGCAACAGATGTGTTGTATTGGTGGGAGTCGCCTGAGAGAGAGAATCATGCAGATTATGAGCAGATTGACCCTTCGAATTTGGTTTTGGAGATTCTTTGATAGATTTGTCCTGCGCCGAAGAAGCGTTTCGAGTTTGGCGTTTCGGGGGTATTATTGGTGATTTGTTGTTTGAATTCACGTTTGTGATCGGGGTATTAGAATTTATGGCAGATGGAGTTTCCACACTCGGTTTCTGAGATTCACTTTTGAGATTATCTTGTATCAAAGATGTATGCCTGCGAGAACTTCTTCTCGATGGAGCTAGAGCAGGAGTTTCTGGTTGCGCTGAAGGTTCTTTTGATGGCGATTGAGAGGATTGTTGAGAAGACTGCTGGGAAGACTGCTGGGAAGACCGCTGGGAAGACTGCTCAGAGGGTTGCTGAGAGGGCAACTCAGATGATTCTTCAGGTGGCAGCTCTACCCTTACACCATCAGCTGTCACAAGCTCGTAATAATAGCGCTCCGTGACACGTCTTTTCTTCTTCGGTCGATCATCAATATCATAATCATTAATTTCCCAAGGCGGATTCTCCAGTGCAGCATCATATTGGGCTTGTATCATGGAATACAGTCCATGTTCGGAACGAAAATCCTATTTGCTGGGTTAGCAGTAGTTCAAAGGGTGATTCAGGCTGCGGTCCACATACAGGTATTCCGACATTCGTACTGATTCCAGCTCCTGTCACAACCACAACTTTCCTTGATTTCGCAAGGATATCTGCAATTTCCTGCAATTCAGCAGCAGAGGTTGGCAAGACATTGATTGTTGGCATTGTTGCGGCAAGATAAACAGACTATTACTGCTCTATTCCTGTCCGTTTCCTCCTCTCTTCTACCAAATTCGAGTCTTAGTTGATTGCGCTCCGAGTCTCAAGATTTTGGTATTGAACCGGTGCCTTGCGCTAGTTGAATATGCGATCAAGACGGTATGCCTGGGCTTCACTTCCAGTTCAGGTCATTTCGAATGTAGCGCACACCACGTAGACGAGGGGGGATCGGTCTATGTCGCCAAATTGTTGTGCGTGATCAAGTCCAGGTTTTCGTAGTGAATGCCGCAATGTTGATCGATCTTAAACCTCGGAACGTCACTTCAGTCTTGGAGAAATGCAAATAACCAAATCAAGTCCTTCTAATTAACGCCAATAACCCCCAGTTGATGTTTCGTTTCGCGACTCCGATGCGTTGTCAAACGGTGGATAGTCGCTGAGAAAAGTGGTTTTCAAGTCGTACAATTCGCCTCAGAACATTGGCAGGGCTTCGGAGTCGAGTATGAGAGGTATTAAATAGCTTTAAGGGCAAGCTTTCCTTTTCCCAATGGGTGAATGTTGCAGATAGTTCGAGATTTGACGCGCAGCAGGATCCCTGACTTCCCCAATTCCCTGTATATTGATATAAAGTTCGAATCGATTTGTTGTCCAAGTTTTTGCTCCTCTATTTCCCCATCTAAAGTCTTTGGAAATGATTGAGCTGGATCGATTGGGATTCAAGAAGAATCTCATAGGAAACAGGTTGTTGATTGTGATGTTTACTTTCATCTAAAGTTTCTTGTCCTTTGTATGGTAGACGCGATGTGTTGCCGACCCCGACCCCAACCGCGTTCTGCCCCACAAATTTGCCAGCCCGTTTGTTTCTCACGTGCTTTGATCTATCTCAGCACCTTGACTCGAGCTTGGGTCTCACCCAATTCTTCTTGGTCACTGATTTTGACGGTCAACAAAATAACCATGACATGATGAGATATGTCAAACTTTTGCATTGTAACTTACTGTACCAAGTAGTACAAGATAGTATAAAGATATTACTCATACTTTCCAGTGAAAGGTATGACAAGATGGCATACCAGTAGTTTGCTGCTTGTCTAGTCATACAACTGCCCGATCTGATGTTCTCTTTATTCATCTTAATCTTGTGAAACTACTGTCAGCTCTCCCCACTATCTAAGATTGCCTTTCTATATATATAGTGTTTGCAGAACAAGCAATGAACTGTTCAGAAATTACTGTCATGAACATGACCAAATATGACTCCTTTCTAGGGCGGAGAAAGTGGAAGCTATGATTCCAATTGCTGGGAAACCCTCACAAACTATCTAATTTGCTATGCTCTGCTATGGTGGTCAAGTGAGCCTTATGCATTTGACAACAGTTCAAAGAGCAAGCTGAGACTGTTCGGTCCAACCGAGTCAAACCTATGTCTAGAAACCTTTATATGTAGTCATTATGCGATGGTCTTTGATTTCTTGTCCATACTTTTCTCACATTCGTTTGGTTGATTTATACATCAACATCCATTTCTTGTTTCCACAATGCCAGAAAAAAAGAAGAATTTACAGTTCATTTGGCCCAAAGATGGTCCCAAAGGTCGTGGTCATCGAGGATTTCTGGGAAGGCTCAATAACGTTGTGACGAACAAGGGTCCAGATATCTTTGTCGGGAAACAAGGAAGCAGAATTAGTCCCGATCGATGGCAGAATTGGTAATCTCTGTGGTGAAGACATCGCATTTGATCTAGCTGACTCTCCAGGGATTCCTACCACGATGAACGCAAGCATAAACAAGAAGTAACCGGGGCATTCTCAAGAGATTTCAAAAGATATGATCCACATACACGAAAGTATGTTGAATGGGAACAACCTCAAGATTGGAACGGTTATGGAATCGGAAATCATGCATGGGAATATCCACGTTTGACCCTGGATGAATATAACAAAATTTACAAGACCTATCATCAAGGTCGGCGAATTGATCCTTCCACGTTCAAAGATTGGAATCATAGCGGTCCTAACGTAAGTAAGCTTTTGTGTTTAGAGTTTTCAGTGGCTGAGAAATGATGCAGAGATTCCGACAAGAATACGATGGCTTTTGGCAAAGTGCTCATCGAAGAGGAGAGAATTATAAATATGGCTGGAACTATTTGCGGGGAGCGAATAATCCATGGTTAAGAATGCATCAACAATGGCCTACAGATCTTGATACTTGGATGGCGATTCGTGGGATGTGGTAGATGCGGATGAATTTGCTTAAGGAAGGATCAATTTACAGAACCAGATGACGTACAAGGGTGTTTCTTAAGATCGGTTCTCTGCATGATTAAGGAGTGAATTAGTTATTGATTCTGCATATAGATTTTATCAAATTATGGCTAGTCTTGAGCATCACAAATTACAACGTTGTGGTTAGACCTCACGTGAAGATGTTTGAGCTCGAATAGAAATACTTTTCAGAAGAGTTGTTCTTTTCTTTCCATTAGTTACGATAGCGGTCTCATGCATAGCACCTACGAGGTAGACATTATGATCCAATGAGTCATTATTAACCTAGAGATGCAAAACCATACCTATCTCCGGTTTATTTTATCTCCGGATCTCTACAAGCACACAATATATGCCTGTTAGACGTTACCTAGCATCCCATTACGCTTTGTAATACTCACCAGCAAACGAACCATAGGCTATCAACAACATTTACCGAAAATACGACAATGTGCTTACACACATATAAGATTTCCGGCCAACAACCAATCAAACCCGTATTTAGAATCACAATCGATAAGTTATTAAATTAGCCACCCCGGCTCTACACCCCTCGAATGGGTAACACGAGATCTGTCAGTTCTTTCTAAGAGTAACCCAAAAGGACTCGTATAAACACAACTCCTATTGGATAACCAATCCATTCGGTAAGGGATTTTTGAATTCTCGAGTAGAATCATGAATGGAGAGCTTGTCTATCTACGACCAATGATAAGTATGGATTTGATTTCGAGGGGTTATAAAAGATGTATGGTATCTACGCTGAAGAGATCAAAGTATAGAGAGAAGTATCTTTACAGTTATCTTCAATACATACTTCTAGCACTCTAACATCATCGCTTCAAAAAGTTGCGGCAGTACGAAAATACCTACACCAATCAAACTATTAAACACCCACACCCAAATCTCCAAGCATGTCTCTCGCCTCCCAACTCACCGCCATAACCACTCGATTCGAAGCCACCGCACCTTCCCACATCAAAGACCCCATCAACAACAGCAACACCCACATCCAAGAAACCTTCTCTCCCAGGCTGGCTCTCCAACCCGGCTCTTCCTCCCCCCCACCACCCTCCCCAACGCCCTCGGAACCCTCATCTCCATCCCCAGCCACCTCAGCACCCCCCTCCTCATAACCTTCTACCGCAGCCCCTGGCATCCCTTCTACAACCCCGCGCTGCACACTCTACAAACCCACCTCGCCTTCTCCACCGCCACTCCACCGCCACTCCATCACCCTCCTCTTCATCTCTCCCCAAATCCCCAACCCACCAATCCCTCAGCACCGTCGAAAAACACACCTTACAATTCAATTCAAAGTGCTCTCGGATATTGAAACCGTCCTCGCGAGAAACCTCAGGATTTTGTTTCGGCCAGCAAGCAGTCCGAGGAATTGAGACGGTTTGAGGAGTTGGGTTATGATTTCGAGAAGAGCAATGGCGATGCGAGGATGGAGGTGCTGGTGCTGGTGCCGGCGACGTTTTTGGTGGGTAGAGATGGGATTGTGAAGAGGAGGTTTGTGGATGCGGATTGGACGAAGAGGGTCGAGATGAGTGTGGTGATGGGGTGGGTGGAGGAGTTTGAGGGGAAGGGGGAGTTGTAGAGGGGTTTGGTGAGGAGTGTGAATAGGGTTGATGATTGAGGATGAATTGGAGATTTATTGATAAATGATGGAGAGTGATCGAAGACTACCTAGCTAGGTAGAACTAAAAATATAAAAGCTTTATCAGCAAATAACCTGACGGATTCGCGAATATGACTTTATTTTTAAGTTTATGAGACCTGCCATGCTACTTTACCTCAAAGTTGACTTCAAGGAAATAACACGGGTGTAGGTATATATTTGTGAATTCTGATTGAAGATTGATTGTTCGCGGGATAGAAAGGTCTTTCCACTCTACTCTACATAAACAGCACCAAAAAACCCCAATCACTAATATTCGATGGTATCTCTCTTATTATCCGAAAGATCCAACATCTTCGATTCCATTACATCATCTCAGATTTCTCTTCTCCCTTTTGTTTCAGGTCTCCTCAAAAAACCCCCCTTAACTACCCAACCCCCAAATCTCCCCCCACCTCCTCCAATCCCCCTCAATCGGCCCATTCAACCTCCCAAACCTGGCTCCTTTCCCCGTATTCGCCTCCGGTAAACAAATCCACTCCCTCACGCTTCCCGGTATCTCTTCTCTCACATGACTAATACAAAGAAGTGCTTGATTCTGACTCAATCCTTTAATCTTTACTCTCCCTTCCTTTGAGATATTTGAGTCAACAATCTGAATATTCTTCGTTTTGGCTATCGTTTTATCGGTAGATATTTCATGTTGAAAGTTTGCGAATTGTTTTTCTTCACCATGGGCTAGGAATAAAAGACATCGATCACGAATACCATCGTCCATACCGCTGAATGCTTCATCTAGAATGACTAAATCTGGTGCTTTGATTATGGCCCGAAGAAATAGTGCTACTCTTTGAGATGAAAATGGCATTTCGCGAAACAAAATATCATCAGCCCAAGATAGAGATTCATTCCCATTGTCTTGACCAGTAGCTCCTCCTAACCTCAGATCTTGTTCAAACCATCGCAATGCTGCATCTATGCGTTCATTCGCATTATCATTTAATTTTGGTATTCCCATAAAAGTATCTGCCCAAGCATTGGCGAGAACCTTCCTCAAAGTTAAATTACGAGGAATATGATTATGAATCTCGGGACTAGAGTGACCCATTCTGGATTGGAGATCAAAGATCGATATTCCAGGCTTTCCAGGTTCCGGTAATCTGGACTTCCCAAATAAACGGATGGGCAGAGAGTAGGTTTGAGGGTGATCAGAACAGATCAGAGATAGAAGAGTTGTTTTTCCAGAACCATTTGGACCGAAAATACCCCATCTCTCACCTCTTTTGACGTTCCACCATAAGCCATCTTTTTCGACACCGTTTACTGTCTCAGTCCAGTTACCAAGAACAGATTTATCTCCGTACTTTACTCGGGCACCTTCCATCTCGATGAGTGCTTCACCCGTCTGTGGTAGCTTGATATCATTCAGAGGGTAACCATCACGACTCATTGGACCTTTCTTTTCCGGAACATTCTTTGCGATGTCGGTTGAATTGCCACTTGTAGCCACAATTTTCTCAGAGTCAGGCTGCTCAATCCCCTCCAAAGTTAACTTCCTCCCAATCTCCTTCAAAGACGACGGCGTCAAATGAAGACTTAAATCATCACTTCCATCCCTACTCTTCCCAACATGATCTCTCAATTGACCCAAAACGTCATCCTTTGGTCCCAAGAAAGCAACTTCACAATTCCCCTTCAAATATACCAAATCCGTAATCCAATGCGGTATAGGATCCTGCGGTCTCAACGACAAAACAAGTCTCGGAGTATTCGCCTTAGCCAATCGATGCAACATCGGACTCAAAGTTAACAACGTAGGAGGATCCAATCCCATGAAAGGTTCATCCAAGAGCAAAACTTCTGGATTTTCCAACAATGCTCTCGCAATTCTCGATCTTCTCGTTTGCCCATTACTCAGATTCGATACCGGCATATTCAATAACTCCCCCAATCGTAAATCATTTATCACACGAACGAGTATCTCGGGATCAAATCCATTGCCATCTATCTTCGTCGAAGGATTGAGCTCCGTATTCCCTTGTAAGTAATCCCATACACTAAAATCTGTATCCTCTCTCCTCGACTCATATCTCGCACTCAGATATGCACTTTTCGGAGCCTGTTTTCCCAATCCTTGTTCCCCATCAAATCCCACATATTTGATCGCCTTTGTCGGAGTTCGTGGCTTGGAGACATCGCTACTAAGGTATGGATATGATCGTGCTGTTGGGGGAATACATAAAAGACCTCCTCGTAAAATCTGCAATAATGTAGTTTTCCCAGATGATGAAGCTCCAAGTATAGCCCAATGTTTCTCCCTTTCTGAAAATGAAGGTATCTCAAAGTTCAATTTCTCGAATAAAGCAGGATTCGCATGTCCGGGAACATGATGGTTTGAATTTGGATGATGCCGATAAAATGTGCCATTGTTGATCCTAAGGATTGGTGGATGAGTTGTCCTTGTTCTTGTGCTTGTGCCATATCGACGCAGCGGCAAAGCCTTGCGATTCCATATCATAGGTCTCCCCATTGCGTCTTGGTATAAATCGAGTTTCCATTTTGAAGAAAATAATTGAGTCACTTGTGGAAAAGGGAAAGAGAGCCGACCCCGGAACGCGGGGAAAGCTTTTGATGATCCACCATTAACCTAAAGTCTGTACCTGGACTTTTTACTACAAGTCGTTGGTTTAGATTATTTTCAAGTATAAGTATGAGAAACAGAAAATGGACTACTGATTCTTACTTGAATGTGGGAATTCAATCAATACACCCAATATACTCAAAAATATCAATTGGAGTGGATGAAAGTGTAAATTCGAAGATGTTCTCCCTCTTCAATAATTTTCCAGATAAAGCTGATAGACACATGCCAAGCATCCTTATCAAAACCTTAGCGGCGCTTAATTCCGGCCCGTTCCATTTCGCGCTTACACGTCTTCCATAGAGCAGCCTGAAGCTCTACAGTAAACAGCTCCTCCATCATAATACATCAAGAATCCAGCTTTCCAACCACAATTGTCAAAGGGTACTTGCAAACTTACAATTTGTTCCCGAAATCGTCAATTCACACACTCTACTCTACTACATCTTTAGATTTAAATAAGAAAATTAATTCAAGATGGTAAGTTTCCCATCTCTCACTCGAATCCATCTCTCTACACACCTACACACCCACATCCCCAACAACCATCCTCTTCCACTTCCTCCCTCTCTCCCCCATACCTCATCCCCCAAACTAACACCCCCTCCCACCAGGCAATGCGCATCGCCCCCTCCGCCTCGCACACCAGCACACACACGCACCTCCAAGAAGCCTCCCTCGGCGCCCCCTCAGCCCCCGGTCTCCACGACACTCTCCGCCACGGCGTTGGCCCAACCCAAAGCTCCTCGCTCTCCACCCTCCCCGACTCCTCGCACCCCCTCGAAAACCGTCTCAAGAAATGGGAATCCACGCAAGAATCCCTCAAGATGGCTTCTCTGCGTCGCACCTTCGGTATGAGCGAACCCATCCGTAGAGGTATGGAATTGAAGATTACGAGAGAGGGGGAGTGGAGACCGCTTGCGCTTGGAGGTGGTGGTCCGGGTATGTGTTTTTTTTTTCTTTGGATTTTTATATCCTGGGGAATTATGGGATGCGATCTCGAGAATAATAAAGGATTGAGAGGATTGCAAGCGAAAGATTAGCAGCAAATGGAACCAGAAACACAATACCAAAGATCCAAAGCTAACATCATCAATCTAGGTCTCCACGAAGAAATTCTACGAGGATCCGACACGACGATTAGCTGGGAAGATGTATTCAAAGGTGACGAGACAAGGACATTACCCGGTTTCCACGAGGAAGTGGAGAGGAAGGTTAAGATGGGGTTCTAAATTAGACATTGGATTTCTATCTCTTTATCCTGACTCTGAATCATGATGGGATGGGATGTGGATATGGATTTAATACAAGCAATCGAGTTTAATGGATGCATAAGTTCATCTTGCAATGAGGATAAACTTCACGAATGATAGATGGGCATCTGGAGAGGAAGGAAGGAGAGTGCTGCTTGCTTACTTGCTTGTTCATTTTCGTATCACGCAAATACCAAATTCAATTATGCGATAACGTTGAACGAAGAATACTTTACCATCCCATTCCTTCCTCGTAACCTCCATGAAATGCAGGTGTGATTAGAGATTATCTCAGAAGCCCTCATCCAAAAAGTCAAGTCAAGCGGATAGGATAAACATTCGCTGTTGCGATCCAGAACATCATCTGTACTGTATTGTTCCTAAATAATTCCCAAGTTCCCTTTCAAATATTTCCTCTTTCCCAAACGCTAACCATGTCGCTCGCTATCAATCAAATCAATCAAGAAAAATCAATTCGCCAACCATCCCTCTGTCCACCCCCTCCGCCATCTCACACTCCATGCGCAGTTTCCTGATGTCCTAAAATCCATATATGATCACACATCCATCTTATTATACACAACACAACATACAACCCGCTCTCGTTTTCGTTTCCGCCCACTCCGCCTCCGCCTCCACCCGCTCAAATCCTGTATTAACAAAGCTTCACATCCGATATGATGCCGTGACCCTTTTATTTGAAAAACGCTCGATAAACCGTATAAAGAAAGCAGAATAGGGGAAAAGTCACCCTTCAATCAAATTGAAACCGCAACGCCATTTTCTCGTTCGTGATGTGCCCATTCTATTGGGTGACTGGGGTTGTGATATATGTGCTTGGCTGTATCTTTGTTCAATGAATTGGAGAATCATGTATACATATAGATTCCCCTTTCGACGCTTTCCATAGACAGAATTCGAGTTTATGGTTTGTACGAAAATGGTAGCTTCTGAATAGTCGAGTTCAGAGAATAACACATCTGCATCCAGCCGTGCTTTCACCATCTTCTCCTCTTCCTCGGCCCATCGACTTCGCTTTTGATGCATCTTCCTCGTCGACTATATCCTGGGGTCTGATAGTCATATGTACCACATTTGATGTTTCGGGATTGAATTTACATGCTATTAGAAGTAGGTGTTAGCTAAGTATCTTGCAATATTGACAAGTTTCAGTCCTTGTCATAGAAATATATTGAAACAAGAATTTCAAGTGCCTCTGATATCAAGTCAAGGCACTCGGACATGGAAATTGTAAATTTTCAAAACATACCTTTCAAAGGGTCCTTATCATCCAACAGCCTCCCAAAGAATATCAATCGTATACTACTTGGACTACTCGGCTTTGCTTCCCATTCGTCTCTCCATTCCCTTAATATCAACTCCTTGAGCGTATATACACTGATGGTAAGAGGATCCTTCTTTCCATTTTCAGTAACCCCGGGTACCGCAACAGAGCGTTTGGTCAGATATTTCTCATCGATCTTATATGGATGGCGCGCGCCAGAGGTAAGTAGCAAGGTAATCAAGATTCTGGGCCCTCCATCAGCAGGTGGTGGTGGCGTTTTGGTGATCTCAATAGAGGGACCGATAGCTTCTGAATTCATTCGTGGTCGCGAAGTTGAAGATTCTTGAGCGTCGGGGGGTGATTCGGTGGCAGGGGCTTTACCTTCGCTTTTCGACATTATTGGTGGCGGCGCAGGCGCAGGATCAATAGATGAGGTTTCTTCGTTCGTAACGGGTCGTGCAGTCAATGCTTCTTGTGATGTCGAACCAGCATGCCCAACAGAGGCATTTTGTTTTGATGAGTCCACCATCTCTGTCGTCGTATTTGTTGTTTTTGTTGTTGTTGTGGGTAAAGCTGAGGATTTGGATGGATAGGATGGATAATCGGATGTTATTGGCGATGTTTCCGGAATCGAGATATCATTTAATAGACCCGACGTTCCTGAGACAGCTTTTGAATTTTTCGAAGTATCAAGATCATCCATCTCGACTGGAGCGGTATTTAATGAAAAGTTTGTGGTTTGAATAGGATCAAGTCTATGACCTGCGGCCGATGTCGAAGTCATAATGGCGAATGGATTGGATTGGTTGGGTTGGGTTGTTTCTGAGGTGCAGGATGAGAAGTGGAAACGGGGTATCTTAGCATCTAATGCCCCATGTAAAATGTATTGTGAAAATGGGGGGATCCACGGCTTTAGGCGGAATAAGACGGTGATTGATTGATATATCTGGGGAAAGCCGTTTCTTTTATGTACGAAGTACCGCTTTAGTGTGCGAATGAGCTGGAAATGGAAATGAAGGGATTCCAAGTATTTGAGAAATGTTTGTTGTGTCTATATGAAGAAGAGGTAAGAACAGGAACATCAAGTGTGAGGATGGAGAAGAGAATGGGAAGGAGAAGGAGAAGAAGGAGGTGGAGAAGGGAGAATTATCAACAAATACATACCAAATACAATACAAGAGGATTTTTGATTTGGACAATTCAATTGGCTTTCATGAATTGGATTATTCTTGGGATGATACTCGTACTTGGGGATCCATTGATTGTTGATCCTTTGTGATTGAGATCTTGAGGAGATTCTCCGACTTGATGGTATCAAATGTTGCTGTATCTCTTCGAGTATATATTGAATGTATGTGTATACAGAGTAGGTGTGGTGTGTAGGTATGTATGGCTCAATTGATTGTATGTATTGGATCAATTGATATAGACTGTCAATCAGTCAATCAGTCAATCAATCAATCAATATTGATGTATATTGATGTATATTGATCGTGAATCTCCAAACCAAGTAGATCCCAAGATGAGTATTTGAATTACTAATAACTAAACTTCACTTGGAACTCTCTTCACGTATTGTTTTCGGCTTCTTCCATCCTTTCCAGTTCTCTCCTTTCCTCTCCTTTCTGTTTTCAGTCTTCACTCCCTTCTTAACCTTCCCAGCTTCAGGTTAAAGTTCACGTGTAGGCAATTACTAGCAACTAGGTCATTGCCTAGTGCGGACTAAGTAATTATTAATCACATCCAAGTCCATCCACTCGAGCCACTCAACCATCCACTCAACTCGAAACCAGCAGAGAATCTGGGGAAAGATCCAAACCAAACACATCACATTATGCCATCGCCGCTACCAATCAATCATCAATCATCAATCGTCAATCGTATCTCGGTACATATCATGCTTTCAGCTCCAAACATCATCCAATCCTCAATCTATCGTTTCCAGCATATTTATCTGCAATCGATCAAGTCATCAATCAAGTCTTTGGTTGTCTGCTTCATCCATGCCATCTAAGCTATCAAAAGGGCAATGAACTGGTCTGAAAGATATCTCCAATGACTGATATCACACTCATCCTCACTGCAATCCAACTCATTATCACTCCAACTCCTCATGGCTAATTCGTGGATCATGTTCTACAACTAATGATAAGTTCAACTTGTGCTTGCTTCGTCGTCAATTCTTACCTCTCTTAAACAATTAAGAACACAAAGTCGAATCTGGTACCTCTGTTTCATCTATTTCCCGAGGATTTCCACTCATATACGGTATCATGACAACAAGATCCCTCAATCATAAGGCGAAAATGCTCTAACATGTTCATGTTGTTCATGTAATAGACGATCATACCAGAACAACAGTCACAACTATTATACCAATCACACCAATTATGGAAGTCGAGTAAACCTTCTCAGCTGAAATACATCTGCCCTTCTGTAAGTAGGTATGACATTCTAATTTTCGCGAATCTCGACCAAGGGGGAGATTCCAAGCGGTCAAAGATGTGTACCAAACACGCACTGTTTTACGCTCAGGCGCATAAAACTTTCGTTGTCATGTTACACACATTAACAAATATCTTTACACACAGATTGCTATGTAAGTTCTTTGCGTTTAACTTTGAGAGGAAATTTGTGCTGGAGGCTGAATTGCCTTGGTTATACATATTTTTTCACATTCTTTACGGATCGCTCGGAGAACGAGTCGAAGTTTCAATGGTTTCCATTCCGTTCCAGAACATGTCTACCTAGTATTTCTGTTTGATAAGACCATGTTTGACTTTGCTATTACAGCTTTTCTCTACTTATTCAAGAGAGGATCCAAAATTTATGTGGATTTCTTATAGCTTTTCGATGGGTAGAGTTAAAAGACTGGGACTTTAAGGTTCTAGAGATGGTCTCCTGCGGACTTTCTTACTTATACTTTTTCCATACACAAGAGCAATCTCATGATTGACATATTCTTCGTTCTTTCCTATCTCAACATTATCAATACGAGGCAATTCTAATCTTGATTGTGACATAAGGAGAAATGCTCAGCAGCATTATGTTGAGAGTTCGATTCTGTGACACAAGATGTTGCTTTGCCGCTCATAAGCAACTATGCTGAGCGATTTTTGATTGATATTCTATCAGAATATACTTTTGGGACCTGAGTTCAAAGAGCGTCTCTTCCCTGACTGTTTCCAACTTGAAGATGGCAGCCCGTGTTAGCCCTTGCAGCACGGCAAGATTATCTAGGTATGCGATCCTGCAACAATTGAAGACTTTTATATCATGTTAGGAAAGCTCCTTATCACAGGGCAGCAAATCCATCCTGTTAAGAATATTTACAATCACTCTCTTGATGTTTGACACTCACTTCTTATCGGTCTCTCTGAACTTTGGCCGTGGCGGTTACAACGGACCTAATGATGATTCTGAGGACGAAAGCCGATAATCTTGACAATGGTCATGCTTCTTGAGTTGTATCAGATCGTATAGGCTCAACAAATTCCAGAGGGGAGTTGCGAAATCTTTTCCGTTCCCTCACGTTCAAGGCTTGCCGGGCAAATAGGGTCACAAGGAGTAGCCAATGAAGATACAAGAGTTTCGAGAACTATCAAACTATAAGATGGTCCCCCAATGTCTTTGCAGAGGACCATGGAGCATACCAAACCGAAGTTCAAGACACTCTTGTACTCAATCTGACCTTCTCTGTCACAATGTTCGAAAGGGATTCACGAACTTCTCCTTTTTGACGGGCAACAATCTTCTACCTCGTCGAAACATTACTTTTCTACATATACAAAGTTTCGTCAACTTCATCATTCGTCCGAAATCAGCACCACCCTCCTACTCAGAATTCTTCTGGACTTTATGTTTCCATTTTGATGCACGAGTCTCTTCCGCTTTCGTATAAGAAATCTATCATCGCCCATTCACTTTTCCAAATCTCAACTTCAAGGTCTTGTGTAATGTTCATCATTGAGATCTGTTCGGCTCGGATTGAAAAACAAATTTCTACTAAAGGTCAAATTCGAATCGGACTACATACTTGTACACCAAGAAGCGTGGAAGAGAGGGGACAACAGGAGGAGAGAAGAAAGTCTGGGTTTATATTTGGGGCGAGGATGATGGGCTTTAATGGATAAATGGGTACCTATATTTCAAGAGTCACGGTTAGAGGCTCATATGTGTTAATGTAATATAACCAAAGGCGTAGTAGATTTACGATAGAGAGCTGAGGTCTGTTTAAATTTTAATATGAAGGAAACATAAACATGGAAACAACCGTAGAATATTTAGTCTATCAAGATTTGAGATTCAATTGTAGAATTATACCCACCCACTATTACCATGAAGTCATCAATCAAGTCTTTAATCACATTCAAGAATTAAAGTTCGTGTAGGTAGGTAGGTAGGTAGGTATTTAGATATTTAGTATAGAAAATATGTAAATGTATACAGAAAATAGAAAATATAGAAAATATAGCTCCTTAGTAATACGAGAGATATATCACTCACTCCACCTAGGTACTTCTCAACTCCTCCAGCGTATGATAATGCCAAGCCGGGTCGGTACATTTTACTCTCTCTGTAGGTATTTATTACCTATCCTATCCCCACAGAATTCTAAATTCAGGGTTTCAGTGGAATTAGGAATTAGAAATTAGAAATTAGAAATTACCTGGGTGGTACGATAGAGCTGTTAGGAGATGGATGATTGAGATGATATAAATTGATATGATATAAATTGATATGATATAAAATGAATTGAATGGAGTATCTTGCTTGTTGAATTGTTTATATTAAATTTATGTTTGTATTTATATTTTATGTTTATGTATATAACTCATTTGGAGATGGTGATTATGGGTTGTGGATTTTAGGAACCTACTGTAGTTGATACACTGGCTGGATGTTGAGATCTTGTTTGTTTACCTAGTATCTTATTCGTCTGGTATCTCAGTGTACTTACTTACTTCCCTTCGGTCTGATACCCTGTGGTTTGGCTCCCATTGGTCTGGCTTGGTGGCTCCCTCTGGTCTGACTCCCTGTGGTCTAACTCCCTTCGGTCGCAAGCTCCTCGTACTCGCAGTCAGTCGCATGCCTCTCATGCGCCGAAATGGCGCTTCGCAACCCTCAACATGTGTTTCCCAAGACATCATCAGATGAGCAATTAACCACGCACTCCGAGTCGAGTTCATCGAGCACCGCTTCTGCAGATAGAGAAGTCGTGCATCTGACGCCGGATTTTGATCCGGATGAGGGGGCAGATGATAGTGATGATTCGGATTCGGATTTGGATATGAATATGGGGATGGGGATGAGGGGTGGAGAGGGTGCACAGAATGATAGTTATAAGATGCAGAGATGGCAGCCGGTAGATCGGGAAAAGGGAAAGTTTAAAGAAGTGAAGAAGGCGGATTTGGACTTGAATTTGGATCTGAATAATGATATGGATTCTGATGACGATGTTTATCGCGATGAGACTAGTCGGAGGAGGGGTAGTTTCTCGACAGTACAATCATATCAGTTATATACGCCAGATGAAGAACGAACCGTGGTGAGGAAATTCGATAGGAAATTGGTGGTGTTTGTTGCGTTGCTATATATGTTGAGTTTTTTGGACAGATCAAGTACGTGTATTCACCTTGTTTCATAACGACTCTTTCATCCACATCCACCTTCTCGTTAATAAAAGGAGTTGAACATGCTAACGATTTCTTTCTTCAGATATCGGGAATGCGAAAATAGCAGGTCTAGAACGAGATTTACATTTAGATTCGAATAAATATGAATGGGTTATCACGGCATTTTATATCGCATATATCTGTTTCGAGTGGATGAGTATATTATGGAAGATCATACCGGCGCATATTTATATCACGGTTATTGTCCTCTCATGGGGAATCATCGCATCGTTACAATCCATCGCGACATCGTTCGCAGGACTGCTTGTTCTTCGAACATTGTTGGGAATCGGAGAAGCTGGATTCACAGGAATACCATTCTACCTATCTTTTTTCTTCAAGCGAGAAGAATTAGCTTTTCGGACGGGAATCTTCTTGAGTGCTGCTCCTCTCGCAACTTCCTTTGCAAGTTCCTTAGCATGGGGAATTGTGAAATTGGGAGAACGTTCCCCGATTGCACCATGGCGACTTTTATTCCTCGTGGAGGGATTCCCTAGTGTTCTGGTGGCGCTATTCGCATGGCATCATATTCCCGATAGTCCCAATACGGCTTCTTACCTTACTACTCGCGAGAAGAGAATTGCGCGTCTACGTCTTCGTCATGAAGTTACTTCTTCCCCCAGTGCCAAAACTAAACCATCATCCGGTCTCAAAATTAAAGAAGTACTTCTTACTTTCCGCGACCCGAAAGTTTACCTCACAGCCCTCATGTTTTTCTTCTCAAACATGGCATTTAGCAGTATGCCCATCTTCCTCCCCACCATCCTAACGCACATGGGGCATTCCCCCTCGACCTCCCAAGCCCTCTCCGCACCTCCCTATCTTCTCTCCTTCTTCTCCGTCCTCCTCACCTCCTACCTCTCGGATAAACTTCGCTCTCGCTCTCCCTTCCTCATCTTCCACGCTCTGCTCTCTTCTCTCGGCTACACCCTCCTCACTCTCCCTCCCCACTTCCTCTCCCCCACTCTCCGCTACCTCGCCATCTATCCCGCTTGCATGGGATTTTTCTCCGTCATCACGATTCTCATCACTTGGACCCTGAATAATCAACCCTCGTCTTCGAGACAGGGAACGGGATTCGCAATCATGCAGATGGTGGGGCAGTGTGGGCCGCTGGTCGGCACGAGATTGTATCCGGAAACGCAAGCGCCCTTTTATAGAGAGGGGATGGGGGTGTGTGCGGGAGTTATGTTGATAGTGGCGGGGTTGGGGCTGGGGTTGAGATGGTGGTTGGGGAGGGTGAATGCCAGTATTGGGGGGAGGTATGGGAGGTTGAGTGGAGGCGAGGGGGAGAGGGAGGATGATGAAGAGGAGAGGGGTTTGGTGGCGAATGAAAATGGGAAGTTGAAGACAAGGGGAAGGGGGAGGGAAGGGAAACCGGCGTTTTTGTATATGTTGTGAGATGATTGGGATATCTAGCATGAGATGAGATCAAAATTTGTGAGAATGAAGATCTTCCAAGGTTCTCAATGATATAATACTTTTCGATTGTGATTGTGAGGAATCTTTTGAAGTTTCGATATGCTTACTTTGGCGTTTTCTTATTATCCCCGTGTGTACATGTTTGCATCATATCATATCATATCATCTCTACACACTTGCTCAATCTACATGAGAGGGAGGGACAGGGGAGGGAGCAAGTAACCCCGTCCCAATATCAGCTTTCCACTCCGTGTGTATATATTTCATATCTAGAACTCCATGTTTATATTCTAGCATCCAATACATAAGATAAGCAATGTTCATATTCATGGGTAGAAGGGGGGAAATAATGGAAATGCAAACGAGTGATTCGGGTTCTTGGGTAGATGAGATAGATCCTGAGTTATGCGTATAAAATCATATACTAGAATTATGTACGAGGTATCTGGAAGGTTGGATTTATGAAAAAGTGTTCAGGGTTTGGAATCACTTTGATTGACAATTCGCTGGTCTGGTGTAGTATACTACGACTAAGAGACTTCCATCTACCCTCCATCCATATCCACCTATCACTCCACTCCTATCTTCCCATCTTCCCTCCTCCCCTTCTTTCCTTCCCCCATCCCAACACTCAACCTATCTCAACACTCAACCTATCTCAACACTCAATCTATCTCTCACCCCCCACCCTCCCTCCAATCCTCCACCACTTCCTCCTAACATCCCACCACATATCCTCCAACTCTCCAAAACCTCCCAACCCCTTAATCTCCAACCTCGCCCCTTCCACCAACCACTCCTCCAACTCCGCAAAACAGCATATGAAGCGTCGCGCTTCTTGTCTCGATCCATTCCACATATACCTCGATCCGGCCACCGCATCTGAAGACGAAACAAGAAGAATTTCCAAGCCGGAAAGTTTCCCAACGAAGGGTTTCAAAACCGTTATTGCGGAAGCGAGAATATCCGGATCCATGCGTGCAGATGAGCTAGCGAGTTGGATATATTTAATTTTCCGGGTCGTAGCAAATCCGAGACGAGCGAGGACGTTATGAGACTTGATTACAATTTTCATCAGCACACCTATCCTCATCTCAGTCTCCATCTCGCTAGAAAATAACTCACCCGTCGCTCATGCGTACACTCTCCATGACACCACGAATTCACACAATGCTGATGTCTCCACGCTCCCTTAACCCTCTCGCTCCATCTCCCCCTCTTCTCGTAATCTCTCCGTCGCTGATCGCGCATCCGTTTGCAACATACTGCGCAGTGAAGATCCTCAATGTCGAAAACCCAGTAGCGCGGCTCGTGGTAATGAGCAATGCAGCGGAGAATCGCGTAGTCTTCGGATTTGTCTTCGACTTGACTGGTGCGTTTGGATCCGTTGAGGTTGATGTGCAGTTTTCTGGGGGACGTCTCGAGAAGATAGTTGAGGACTGTGGATGCGGGGATTTGGGGTCGGGTTGTGGGATTGCTTGCTGGGATTGTGGAGATTGGTGAGGTGGGGGGGAATGATGATGGGTTGGGGGTTAGGGATGGGATGTGTGAGTTGGGCGAGGGATAGCCGAGCATCTCGAGAGTTTTCCGATTGGATATTCCGGAGATCCAGACGTCGAGACCGGGGGTTGAGGGGGGTACGTGGCTGGTTTGATTGATGCTGCGATGTGGAGATTTTGTTTTGGGATCTGCTTGGGGGAAAGATGTTGGTGGATAGCAAGGTTTGGTTTGGCCTTTTTTGGAGAGGAGAATTTGGGGTGAGCTGTGAATTGATGGGGATATGAGTATTTCAGGGGACCTTGAAGTGAGGGATTCTTCTGGGAGACTCATGTTGGAGTGCTTAGGTGGTTGTGGTTTTACTTGTGATTCTGATTGTGGTTGTGGTTGTGGGTGTGGTAATTATAGTGGTATCGGTGATCTGAACCAAACGTTAGTCTCAGTCATGACGGTAGTTGTATTCTGAATATTTCATGCAGGCTTATCTCAATGGTAATCTTGATGCTGGTAGTATTGTTGGGTAGTAGTAGTAGTGCTATTCCCAGTAGCAGTGGTCCTCAGTCCTCTAATGATAGACAACATTATGATTTACATACTACAAGCGGTATCAACGGAAGGGCAAATTGATAAAGGGACAATCTTCCGCTAGTTTACCAGGACGGTCACTTTCCGTGAGTTTTTTCTCTTCTGGCAGGTTGAGAGTTCTCACATGGGAAGGATAGATGGAAATTTCACGATGTTCAATAAGGAAAGTGCGCATATTATGTGGTCAATGAGACCACAGGCTATACAATTGTAATGATTTGCAATAGATTTCCGTAGAAACCCGGAAGCAAAGTTCTCAGAACTGATTGCTCTTCTTGTTTTGGGTTTCATTGATGAAAAAATTATGGTCTGGCTGATTCTTAGAGGCAGACAGGCTTCATCTACTTCATCTTAGAACAAGCGACCTTTAAGCTGGTGGATGTCGTTGCTATTTCTGCCAGCTGCTATAAAAAAACAAATTAAGTTCTTCACCTTTATTCTTCTTCTTTAACACATAAACAGCGTTTATTAGTCTTACTCGAGGACCATTAAGTAAAAACGCCACCGAGAAACCCACAATATCGCTACTGTTTACACGACAATAGCATGGATTAAGAACAGTGGAAGCTTTTCGAAAGAAAGTTCAACTCCTCTGTATGCTTTGAGCTTGCTGTTATTCTTCCTTGCCAGAATTCCGCTCGAAAAGATTCGAATTTTCGAAATGCGTATAAAGATTTGAGTGTTAGAAGTTGAGATGAAAATCGCCCGACGCATCAATGTGGCATTCGAATCACAAGTCAAGCAGCTACCATTATTTCCTTTCTTCAAAATAAAGAGCCAGAAATAATGCAATAGTAGCTGCATTAAGAAATATTGCGTGGCGAGGGCTGCTGTGTGTTGTTATCACCCTCTTTGAGCCATAAATCAAGCTTGAACGTGGATATATATATCGCTCGGCGGACGAGTAACATGTTCAAGAGTATGCTTTATATTGTCAAGGTGGTCATTGCCCATTGTATTGGCCGCTATATAAAGTTTGACGGTCTTCGCAGCCACACGAGACGCTCTACCTGAAAGTAGAGCCTTTACCGCTGACATTCTTTATCTTCAAGGTATTGTGATGTCTGTGAGTGCAGGCATCTGGATACGAACCGGCGGCACCATTGACCTCACGACTATGGGGACATAGAGTACTGGAAAGATATTTGCATGCACAGATTTAATATAATGGATTTGGTGGATTCAATCTTTCGCTTGTGATCCATAGGTCGGAGCATATCTGAGAGTAAAGGTAGGCGTACAGACTCAATTTTGCGAATAACTTTGTCCAGAGGCGTTCACCTGCCAATTGAACGACCCAATCGATCGAAGTTTGTATTGTGCACTGGCAGACTTCTTCACATCTGGACATCCCAAATTTCATCCATTGCATCTCGACATAAATAGGCTACAAGTATTAACACACAGTAATTCAAGGGGATGACAATCAGATTCTCAACTTGACGGCCTTTCTACTTAATTGTATATTGGCCGATTATACCTAGTCGACGACCACTGATCTGTTATAGAGATGTAAAGTTGATATCACCGTCAAGTCATGACTGTCACTTAGACACAATTTAACTAGATAGAGCCAATGAATGTAATCTTACGATCACATGAATAGTATATGATTGACGGTATACAGTCTAAACAATTGAATTGGAATCATCTATCTTATTCGAAATAAAGTTATGATTATTGACTTGACAGTAGGTAGTCCAAAAGTAATTGAAGAGAATGGTCTGATAGTGAATAGTTTCTTCATAACCCTAATCAGTTATAGAGAAAAGGAACATTTCTCACCCCCTTTACATCGTACAAAGGGATTCTCAGCTTCTTGAATCCTCCATACTGATTCAAATAAGCACACGTGATTTAGTAGGCTGAACGCTGTGTAAGTAGACATGCAAAATTTTGTCTTTAAGACCTGCCAATTATTGTCCTCATCTCCACTTATCTCTCGAAGACGCAAACTTTGAACTACCATGTTGCAATGATCCGGCGATGAATAACGGCGATTGAGAGATTCTGCAGTGCACCAACCTAGCTACGCCATTGAAGAAGCGTGGGCGAAATATGGAACAGACAAAAGCTACCGTACAATCATCGCCGCTATCCCACACCAAGGTTCACAATAGCCACCACCAGTTGGGGACTCATCATTTCAATCATTAGCCGGTCAAATTCCGGCCCGTTTTGAAATATTATGGCGGGTCGGATACAGTCATGCCAACGCAGTATCCAACAATGAGAAATTCAATGCCATCGAGCCTCAGCCCGTTCAGCTGCACAAGACATCTATGGTCCGCAATGTCCTCGTTGGCAATTTTCTAGGACCACGACGACCGGGCAGATATTTGCAGATGGGAATATAATCTGATACGCGTTTGAAGCAATTGGAAGACTGTACCTAAAAAGGTAAGCACGGGAGTGGCATTTTCGTAATCACTATAGCTCATTAACAGACAGCTTCAATTAAAGATTCTGTCCTGTTTGGGAGATTTCTCGGTCATTGGCATGAAGTAAGCAACGTATTTATGGATTTACAAACACTTGTCAATAATTCATCTTCCATTACATGGCGTCCAGAGTAATAATCATCTTTCAAGTGATCCCTGTAGTCAAATCCCCTGATTAAGCGATCAAGGGTATGAAGAAGCTTTTGACCACCATCACCAATTTTTGTATAGTTGTTTGTTTCCCTCAGATCCTATTGATTTGTTTGAGAATGGTTTTCATTATCATCCTACGTCAGATATTTTAGATCCTTTAAGATACATTTTCGCATAAGTGCCACGCCGCACCGCCACATAAGGATTCATGCATAATATCAACTCCGCCCCATACAACCTGAGCATACACCTCATTGAGCCAGCAGCTACAGCATACTACACATGTTGGCTAAGCTTATCTAATTACGTCTAATCCCATCGTACACTTCCATTCCCATCGAAGCAAAACTGTTATGTTGGGCCCCGAGCTCTTTCTTTAACATCAATACATGGTGGGGCGAGGATTTTGATGGTGGCGCAGGCAGTTTCAAACTTTCATGATCCTACCAAACCGTAGAGCTGGTATCCATCGACACCCAAAGAAGCTGAAAGGTAGCAGTAGGAGATCTTGATTCCAGGTCAATACATTTGAATAGTGTAGTAAAACTCGAAAACGGGGATGGCGCTGACAAAGATAGCAAGCCGTGGTATTTTAATTTATTTCTAGGTGCTCCTAGATCAAGTCTGAACCGCATCTATTTTATTACTACCCTGAAATTGAATGCGTAAATGTCCAGAATAGCTAATACAGTATCAAAAGGCTTGGACACTGCGCTCAATTCCTCTGCTGTTTGCTTCTTATCTTGGTAGCTAGAAAAATAGTCTTGCGAAATCTCTTCTCAATTTCACGGCGGATTTTTCGTACTATCAGTCCTACGATACAAGAAGATGTTTTGAGTTGTCTAATCTCTTCTGAGTAGCATCTTCTTTGGGCTTCCAAGATGCCTATATAAGGCATAGCTATGGATTCCAATAAACTGCTCTTGAAAAAGCGTCCCTTTTGGGTAATTCACCAACAATAGTTAGTCGCCGAGGCGTACTTACGAGGCAAACACCATATTAGCCTGCGACCAGATTATTAGGCCCCGAGTATGTTTGATCTCGATTCCTAAGGCACATGTGTTTCCAAACTCAACCTTACAAGCCAGCATGAAGCTCTCACAAGACAGCCTCATGATCATAACAATTTTTACTTCAATACTCTAATGATTCACACTTGTGACCGTCTATAATTTTGAGTCACTTAACCTTGAACACTGGAGTTATTGAGCGTGTTGCTGAGTATTGTGTACAAAATTCATCGCAACGCAATGTACCTCCGAAAGTGTTGTTCTCGCCTACGCATCACACCCCTTTCTGCTTTAGGCTTCCACCAGGCTACGTCAACTCAACGCCCTGGTATACGTATGCCCGCCAGTCACAAGAACTATTTCCTCGGAGGATTGAGTGATATCACGACTTCAGTGAGAAAGTGAGGAAGGTGCCGGCATCTATCTTCAGCAACACAGATTTCCGCTCCTAACGTCGTGATATCAAGATAGTCAAGGGGGGGACTTTTTGAGATACCCTTGAAACTGTAACTTCTGCCTATTCAGACTACCTTTACCGTTGTCTTGGAATTCGATCAAAAATGCTGTGGCATCGGGCGCTGCTAACTCCTTGCTCGGATAGAATTACCGGCAGCCGTGGAAGGCTCTAGCTTCAAGAGCGAAGGGCAATTTAACATGATAGTCATCAATAGCATTGAAAGGCTACACATAATTAATTACATAGTACATAAATTAGCTTGGGCAAATAAGATCTACTTCCGAGACAGAAATGCTAGCCTAAATACCTGCGGAATCGTTCTACTCTCTAATGATTCTTTCCATGGACCTTCCCTAGGTGGGGATCATTTTTGCCGCTCACGATCTCCTCTACTCACCGTCCTTCACAGATGCGTCTAAGCTTCAAACTCTAATGTATTTCTTATTTCTACATCATTACCCTTAACAATTCAATACTTTGTCCCACTAGAGAACTTACACTCGACACTTCTCCGGCTTATTCCCGTCTCACATAGACACACACTGACAGTTTACCTAGCCGGATGCTAATTCAAGGGCCTTATAGTTTTCTACTAACTGGAAAGTAAAGACCCCCTTAACAAGATGCCAAGCTTATCCTAACCTATCTCCCAATCGACACGACCACGAATACATCATGACTCAATAT